CTGCAGGAGCTGTAGTGGTGCAGTGGGTGCTGCAGAGTGCAGCTCCTACTTCCAAGAGTGCCTGGGTGTTGGTTGGCATCTTTGCTGCTGCATGCAGGGGTGGATGTTGGATACTGCTGAGTACCTGCTGCTCCAGAACATGCCAGCTCTGCTTTGCCCAGGTGCTTCTTATTCTCCTTCTGCAGGCTGGGTGCAGCAGTGTGCATCTCCTAACCGGACATCGAGTCATGTTGCTGCTGCATGTGAGTGGAGTGTGTTGCCCAGCCTGTGCATCGGTTGCAGATCGCACCTGGTGACGGGTGCGCACTTGTGTGTGTTTTGTTTGCCCTGTGTGAGGCTGTCAGCAGATGGTGTACAGTGGGCAGGAACGTGGGTGTGGAGACATTGTGTGGTAGAAAGTTTGGGAAGGCACTTCGGCAGTTGTGCCAGGATCCCCTCCTGTCATGCAGTGGGACATAGGCAATGGCAATCTGTCTGTCCGTCAGGTGCAGTCCTGGCAGCAGCCCCAGCAGCAGCTTTGGCTTTGTCCTAGTGAGTCCTTGTGCTTCCTGGGGCTCTCCCTGCCTGCTGTGGTCTCCTGACATTGTTGTTCTGTGACTGTGGCAGCACAGATGTGTCAGCATGCTGTCTTGGTGCTGCACGGTGTGTCACAGCCAAGGCTCTGTGCCCTGCAGGCAGCAGCCCTGGTGCCTTGTGAGTGTTGTGACAGGGTCTAGCCTGGGGCCTCACCCTGTTACCATTGTTGCCTTCCTCTCCAGACCTACCTGAGGCATTTCTGAAATGCGTGTTCAGTTTTCTTCAGTAGCTGTGCACAGTGCAGTGGGTTTTGGAGCAGGGATATGTTTCTTTTTGGCTTTACAAATCTGGGCCATCTCCAGTTCTCCGTGCCTTTCAGTGTATTTTCAACACTCCTTTTCACTTTCGGTGCTCATCTTGAGAATCTATTCTCCCATTTCTAAGGGGCACTACCATGCAGGGATGTGCTCTGATGGAGCTGTGTGCACGGAGCTGAGAGGTGATCGCTCCCTGTACGAGCCAAAATAGGTTTGTGCTGGCAGATCGGAGGGCTGTGTGTGTCTGCAGGATGCTTGGAGCTCGTGAACCTCAGCCTCCGCACTGGGAAAGTCAGACCTTCAGCTGCAGAACAGAGCCCGGCCACTCGTGCGAGGAGCCCAGAGAGGGGAAGGGCACACGGCCACTGCTTGGTCTTGGGGTGGTGTTGGCTCAGATGTGGAAATTGCCGATTGTGTTTCTGGTTTGTGCACAAATGCTTCAGCTCTTGGAGAGGCATAAGCAGGCGTGCCAGGAAGTGCAGGCGTGATGTTGGGTCTGACTGGTGTAAGGGATGTTGTGCTCTTGCAAAACAATAAGAATAAATACCAGGGAAGATGCTGGTAACCTGATGTGCCCCAAATTGTGTAACTGCAGACGTCACTGCTCGCAGCAGATACTTTGTAGAGGCTGTGCCACCGCGGGATGGGCTGCTCGCATAGAGGGTCAGCACAGCTCTTGGCGCCGCTTTGCTGCTCTCTTCAAATACAACCGGACAGCTTCGAGCGCCCGGCAGGACCTGCTGTGCTGCGGGAGATGCCTGGCCTGGGGTGGCCATGCCTGCTGGGCTGGCAGCACTGCTGTGGCACTCGTAGGTGCAAAAGGCAGAAAAACTTGAGCGCAAAGTGAGAGCTGCCATTTGTGATGGTGGCAGTAAAGCTGAATCTAGTAGCCTGGAGCCCTTAGATGAGGCTTAGTGAGAACATGTTGATCTCCATATGAAAACCGTAAGCTCATTTAGAAAATTGGGCTGCCTCTTTTGAGATTAGAGTTTCTCTTTAATCTGCAAATTCTTAATTAGCATGGAAATGGCTAGCTAAATGGGGCTGGCAGCGTATACATCCACATGCCAGAGTGGTGGTGCTCCTTGGCAGGTGGTGGTGAAGCTCCAAGGCCAGGCCAGGCGCTCAGGCAGCAGAAACTTTAGAGCATGAGGCCATGCACAGAGGTGGCCCTTACCTCCCTCCAGTTTGGCCCTGGCAGGTGATGGTGGGTCCATGGGATTGTTACCAAAATCTGTAACTAAGAAAACTCTCCAAACCTAATGATAGTTTAGAAAGCTGACACTGGATTGTTACAGCGCTGGGTGCATGGGGATCTTGCCACAAAGCATGCACACCCCAGAGCTAAATCACCCTCATTATGTACATCTAAGTCTCTGAATTTAAGTCTTTGGTATCAGAACATTTGGAACATGTGTCGATGGCAGCTCCCTGGTGTTTGGACTCACACGTGGCTGCTGTGGCTCTGGTCAATGGCCAGCTCACACAGCCAGGAGCGCATCATGCCCGTTGCTGCAGGACCCTGCAAGGAGCAAGGGGACAGGCTCCTCAGTGGGCAGCTCTGAGTGTCAGGAGACCAAGCACCTCTGCTGATGCTGGCAGTGACTTTGCTGGGCTTTTCCTTATGCTGGAAGGGCTTTGCTCTTTGTCAGAGCTGATATCTCTGTTAAAGCTGTCTCCTCTGGGACTAATGAGCATCTCAGCTTTGATTTTCCAAGACAGATGTATACACTGGCTTCAGTGCTGTGGAAATCAGCTGGGTGTTTTGTAGGGCTGGTGTTGGGTATCTGCTGAAATCAAAAGCCAGGGCATAGCAGACCTGAGTGTGGGCTTGGGACTGTTCCTGAGCGTGGCATGGGCTTGGTCAGCACAGCTCTGTCCTGTGGCTGTGGCCTGTGGGGACAGCACCTGGGCTGTCTCCATGCCAAGGTGGGTGCCCCTCGTGCTTCGCAACATTGGTCACAGAGAAACATTCAGTGTCCCCTCCTGTTCCCGTGCCCATTCAGAGCCTGCCAGCAACAGGCCAGGCCCTTGCCGGCCACTGCTGTGTGCCAGTGCTGCTGGCTGTGGCCAGCACGGGGCTGGGCCGCTGCCATGCCTCCTGCTGCCCTCTGGGTTTGGGGCTGCCTGTGTTCTCCCATGCCATAGTGAGCTGCAGGAGTGCTTTTTGGTGCTAGCTTTTCCCTGGGAAAAGTTGCTTGTGGAAACTGTGTGCGCATATTGTGCATGCAGCAGAGTCTGCCTGCTCTCTGGGGAAATGAGACATCAGGAATGGGCAGCCCCAAGCAGTGCTGGGGTGATGCTGGAGGGGGGCTGGGCTAGTGGGAGATCAAGGTTGATGGCAGTGGGGCCCAGCCTCCAGTTGGGCTCATAGTCAGCCACTGACTATGTGGGCATCTTTCATGTCACTTCCTGGCATCCCCCTGCTCTCATGTTCAGCTGTTGGCACTGCCTGTGTTTAAAGGAAGCTGTACAGAAATTGGAGATCGTGCTGGTACAACACTAAGCGTGTCTGATCCATAATGTATCATGTTTGTTTTATTTAAATCAAAGAACATGAAGAGCAGGAAGAGAGTGCTAGTGCCTTAAAGAGTTGGAGAGCCCAAATCCATCTTCTGGGCTACCTTGAAAGAAAATCTGTGAAGGAGGAGCTGGGAAGCAGAGCGAGGACTAAAAGCATCTCCAGTCTGGGGATGTGGACTGGTACAGTTTGATGGTGAGGAGTGGTCAACTGAGAGCCTTGGAGCCTCCTGCAGCTCACAGGCCTCTGAAAGCTGAACCAATCACAGATTTTAGCATTTCTTGCTCTGAGCAAACCCTTGGGTTGGGGCTGCTCTTTACAGGATTGTTTTGAACTGCAATGGCTGCTCAGCGTGATACTTCTGCCTGAGCCTTTATGGGCAGCTGTGCATGTCTGCCCAGCCTCCTTGTCCTCTGGGCCTTCTGGGCCATGTCTTGGTGGACATATGATTCTGACAGACTTGGCTGTAAGGCACGGAGAATTTCTGTACCATCCTCTCCAGATGTCATCAAAATCCTCACTGCTCAGCTGGTGGCACTTGGATGCCTTTACTGCCACCAAGCTTGACTTCCTCTTGGTAAATACTGGCCTGGTCTTTGCTGCATAGCCAGGATGGGAATTGGAAGCCTTTGGTGGTTCTTCCTGGTGTGGCAGGGTTGAGCTGAGGAGTCTGGGAAGGACCAACATCACCACATGGGATTGATCTCCTTGGATGCCTCCCACATTGGGCTCTTGCTCTGGGAGGAGTCCCAGCAGACCAAAGGAGAGCAGTTGCTGTGGGTTTTGGTAATGTCTTTCGCCAGCTTGGAGCCTGTGCTGGGCAGGGAGGCTCAGCATGGGTGAGGGGAAGGATCAATGGTCTGTGGTGAGCCTGTGTGCCGTACTGTGTGGAGTGGGGTTTGTGCTATATGGGAGGCAAATGAGACACATGCTTGTGGAATTTGTGTCTTAAATGCTTGTCAAATGTTTCTGGGCTCCTTGGCTCCCATTCCTGGTGCTGTGGGAGCAGACAACTACTGGCCCTTCAGCAATGTCTGCTGGAGTGGGGGCTCCCACAAGGCCTGTCAGCTTTGTTGGAGCACTGTGGAAAGGCTGCGCTGGGAGATGTGGAGCTGAAACTACGCTGTGTCCCCTTGACTGTCCCCATGGTGAGCAGCTCCAATCCAGGGAGAGCAACATGGAACTCAGGTGTGCTTCCTGCCCGCACCCAGCCGTGGGAACACAGGAGTAGCCCTGGCCCCCAGGCTTGCTGGGCTCCTGCATCCTCTCTAGGATTTCATGCTCCCTTTGGTGCAGCTTGGCTCAGCCAGTTGGTTCGCTGCTTCGCTTTGCTGCTGCAGAGCTGGCAGCATCTGGCAGGTCTCTCAGGGCCTGGTGTGGGGTTTGGGTGGTGGTGGTGGTGGTGGGGTAGGGGGCAATTCTGCAAGTCCCAGGTGCTCCATTTTGTGCTGGGACTTGAGAGTGAGGCTGGGTTTGGGTAGCACTGAGTGTTGCACAGGGTTGTGTGGCCGTTTCACTGCTGCCTTACTGCTCTAAGTGGGACTGGGGTTTGCGCAGCCTCTTAGGGGGGTGATGTGGAAGATTTTGAGTGCCTTGGGATCACCAGTCTTTTTATTGTCAATTTGTTGTTGTATTGTGTCTTACAGAAATAACATTCATCCCTGATTTGATGATAATGAAAATACAGAAAAAAGACAAGCAGGTTTGTGACCCTCTCTCCTTCTCCTAACTCAGCTGGTGAGGCGTCGGGAGCTTGTGCTGTATGGTATTGCAGTGGATGTGTGGTGGGAAGGGGACGAGAGAGAGATTGCTGCACTTCCAGCAACGGCCACAGCTCAGGATGCTGAAATTTGACCAGAGCTGCAGCCTAGAGTGGATAAATCTTACTTGGGTGATTAGGCACAAAAGGATTTGTGTTCATTGATGTAAATGCTCTTGGTTTGGTCCTGGTCCCTGTGTAGAAGCAGCCCTTCTTTCCTCCCAAGTTACTAATTCTGGTTCTTATTTGAATCTCATCATGCATATATTACAGAAATGCATGTTTGCTGTGATTGCTGCTAATAACGTAATGCCCCGGGGTTGACACTACTAGTGAGGCTGGGGACCAGCACATCTGCAGTGCTGCAAGAGCTTGGCCAGCAAATCTTTCCTTGCTCAGAAATAATCCCATCCCACTGAGCTGCCATTTCCGAATTGCTGCATCACAGCGTCACTACCTGCTGGTCCCAGAGATTTATTAGCCAGCAGTCTTTGTATTAACTGTGCGCACAGGAGAACCTGACCATCGGTGCTCTGGGAAGAGGAAGGGACCTGTTACAGCAGACGGCCAGCAGGGTTGAAATATGGCTGGGGCTGTAGAACAGCCCACTCTACTCTGAGCTTTTTTGTGCCTGTGCTGCTTTAATGGGAAACCACGAAGCTGAACACTGAGCTGAGGGACTGATCTGCTGAAGAGCACCAACTGGTGCTGCTCCTGCTGTGGAGCAGAGCTCGGTGCTGCTCAGGGTCATGCTTTGCTACTGTGGCAGATTGGCAGGGAGGAGGAAGGGGGAAGGATTTGGAAAAAGTGTGTGGCCATGATACGAAGTAGTGGCTTGTGGAGGAGATGTGTGTGTGCAGTAGGCTGGTATGGCAAGGAGTTTAATGACTGCATGTCCCAAAGGTGCTGTGAGGGGGCAGAGCCAGCCTCAAGCTGAGGGTGGGAGCACAGCAGGACTGGGCTCTGCTGCCTGATGGGGCCTTGGGGCACGCTTACGTGAGACCCGTCTGCCAGGTAGGAAATTCCCACACTTGTGTAGCAGCTTTGACTGCTCTGTAAATGGGATTGCTGAAATGATGTGGGGTTTGAACGCTGCAAAACCATCCTCCTCCCACATTTGGAGGTTTTTAAATAGCTCAGTTGTCAGTGCTTTGTGCAGCTGTCCCTGCAGATCAAGTCTGGGAGGGAGATAAAGGCAAATTAGCACGAGGAAGAAGATGTAGGGTCGAGCCGTCCATCTCCTGTGCTCTGAACCAGCAGCAGCATGGGACATTCCTTACAGCGTCACGGAGCGTGCTGCAGCATTCCGCAGCTCATCAGTTCCACAGGAGCAGTGCGGGGACGTCCCCTTCCTTGAGGGGTCTGTGCAGCACTAACAGCTGCCAGGGTGAGCCCTGTGTGTGGGACGAACCTGCCGCTCACCTGCGGGAGTTTGGCTGGGCTGTCACCCTGCAGGCGGCTGTTTGGGGCCGCAGGGAGCTGCACGAGTTGGCAGAGTGCTCGGCACCCTTTGTGTTGGTGACAGATGCTGGGAGAGCTGTTGGCTTCCTTTGAAGTGGGTTCTGGATGTGCCTTCTGCAGGCCTGGCAGGACAGCTCCAGTCTAGAGGCCCTGCTTGGCGGTCAGGGCCTGCCTTGGCGTGACTCTTCTTCCTTAGCAGTGCCTGAAATTCTGGGCGTTTGTCACCAGGCTGTGACTAACTTGTGAAACAGGTTACCTCCCTACTGACTGGTAGTGCAGCGTGCTGGAGTATCTCGTCCATTGGCAGAGCAGGAGAAGCAGCAGGCCGTGGCACTCACACCTGCAGCACTGCATCCAGCCCTGGGGCTGCCGTTACAAGAAGGACGCAGAGCTCTGGAGCAGGTCCAGAGGAGGCCACAGAGGTGCTCAGAGGCTGGAGCACCTCTGCTATGGAGAGGCTGAGGGAGCTGGGGGTATTTGCGTGGAGAAGAGAGGGCTCTGGGAAGACCAACGTGCGGCCTTCCAGTACTTTGAAGAGAGCATATAAAAGCTCCATCTCCATCCTGTTTGCACAGTCCGATAGTGATGAGACAAGGGGGGTGGCCTTAAACTAAAAGAGGGGAGATTTAGGTCAGGTGTGAAGAGGAAGCTCCTTAACCAGAAGTGGCGAGGCCCTGGCTCTGCTGCCCAGAGAAGCTGGGGATGCCCTATCCCTGCATGTGCCCAAGGCCATGGCTGGGTCCTGGGCAGCGTGAACTGGTGGGGGGCAGCCAGCCCACAGCTGGGGTCTGTGAGGGCCATTCCCACCCAGATATGCTGGGATTCTATGATTTCCTCTGAGGTTCAGTGGCTGTGGCAGCTCCATCCAAGCCTGGGCTGTGCTCCCTACAGTGTCCTGCTCCCTGGGCACCAAGGGCCCTGCTTACTTTCTGCCACGTTAGCAGGGACTGCTCCTACTAATTTCTGCCAAGCTCTGACTTGTTGAATAACCTGGCAAATACTGACCTAAGATGTATCCAGTGGTGCCTGTAAATCACTACAGGTGCGGTGGAAATGGCCCTGTACTGCTTGGAGCAGCACGTTATAGCGGGGCAGCATGTGTCTGTGCCTCCTGCGTGCCCTAGGAGTTCTTCTGGTTTGAGCCCAGGTGTGCAGGGGAGGCTGTGGGGGCAGGTGGGAACAGCCTGGGACTGGAGACCACAGCCTGGAGACTCTGCTTTGCCTTTGATTCCAGTACTCCCTGCTTTCCCCTGGATGCTATGGGTCTTTTTAATTAAACTTTGATGTTTCCCCTACTGCAGACAATGTCAAGAGCCATTAACAGAGCTCACTTGATGACAGCAGGACATCGTGCAGGGGCTGGGGAACCCTGTGAGTGTTTGTGGTTCAGTCCCAAGCTGTGTTCCTGGGCTCCTGCCATTGCCTCAGGTGAGTGGGGAGCAGTGGGGATGCCCTGCTCCTCCCGCCAGCCCCCACGGCCCCCACCCTGAGGTGCTCACCCCATTGCTGCACATGACTCCCTGCAGGGCCCACGGCTGCTGCCTCCCCGTGCCCATTGCTTGTGCTGGCTGTGCTCCCCGGCCAAGGGCTGTGGCTCACAGAATGCCTTGGGAACAGAGCCAGCCTCCACCTCCGTCACGCTCATCCCGTGCCGGCTGCGGAGCCTGCTCAGAGACATGACAGAGGGTGGCACTTTGGTATTTTTAGCTTCTGCTGCATTGCATTAAGAGCTGGGAACAAGGGGTGTGGACAGTCGGCGAGAGGATGCACCAGGCTGTGCTGTGCCGCCGGTGGGACTGCAGCTGCTAACAAGAATGGCTTGACAGCCTGTGGAAATGCTGCATGTGGGAAAAGCTGCCTTCTGGACCCCTCTGGTGCCCTGTGACCGGCCGTGGGGACAGGTGGGCAGAGCTGAGCACGGGGCCTGTTGGCTGGGTGCCATTGGTACTGCAGGGAGAGGCAGCTGGTAGGGGTGTGGATCAGCCCCTTGGTATTGGGCTCTGCTTTAGGAAACCTGTGCTGGACGCTTTTGTCATGGTCCCTGTTGATGCTCCCTGTGTAGGACAGGTCTCTGCAAGGTCCAAGCCAGACCTGGGGGGTACCCCCGTGTTCTTCTCCTGGAGGCTGCAGAAAAAGGGCACTGAATCATGCTGGGGTTTACAGGGCACTGGAAACAAAGGACAGCGTGTGGCACAGCTCCTGCTGCTGGCTGCAGTCCCACATCCTGCAGGAGCACGCTGTGTGGGTGCCATCTAACCAAGGGAGCTGTGGGTGATGCCCTGGAGAAGGGCTGGCGAGGTTCTCTGCTTGGTGCCCACCGCTGCCTCCCTCGGGGCTGTGCATGAGGGGGGCCCAGTCCAGCCGCTGCCAAGGGCCTGGATCCTCTGCTCCCTGTGCAGGTGCTGGGCTGGCAGTGGGTGCGTACCAGCTGTGCCCCCTTGCCATCCTCACAATGCTGGGCCGTGGGTAGCCCCACTGCTGCCCCTCTGTCGCGCTGCTTTCCCTCAAGTCCTGAGTGAAATCAGGGGAGTCTAGTCAAGCTGTGGCTCCTTATGAAATAAACTGATTTCAAGTTAAGGAAACGCACCATTAAGGCCCATCCTGACCTTGGCTATGCCCTCTTGTGGGGTTATGCAATTATGAGTGCTCTCCGTTAGCCCTTACAGCTCTCTGGGAGGATTTAAGCACTTCTTTGTTTCTGACTTTGTCAGAATGTAGGAGAAGACTTCGTGCTGCTGCTGGGGGAATTCCCTCCATCAAATGTGATTTGTGAAAGGTTCAGCTGGAAATTAAAAAAAAGTGTCCAAACTATACACAGAATTGTATCCAGAAAGTGTAAAATCATTGAAATCATTGCAATCCTCACCATTAAAAAAGCAAAAAACCAAAAACAACATGGAGAAATAATTGAAAGGGACAGTCCTAAAGATAAACGTGGTGCAAGGAAACAGGAAAAGGGGGAGGGGTGCTGGGGGGAGTTCTGTACTTCCCCTTCCCCTCCAAAATATCCCAGGAGGAAACAGCAGAGCTCACCTGGTCACTCAGCTACAAAAGATGTGTGGAGGGCTGTTGAGTATAGAAAGAGGATTTTTTTATTATTATTATTTTTTTTTAATTAAAAAATTGTAGTGAGAAAAAGGGCACATACTGGGAATCTAAAATAAGCCCATAACAAGGCAGGGCTAAAAATATTTTTAAGGGTTGCTTGCTAAAAGCATGAATTCTAATAATAAGTTCTTTGAATATCTCAAGACCACAGTGTCTTTAGGAGGAGCTGTGCTTGGAGAGCAGCTGGTGGCATGTGCACAGGGATTGCCTCAAATTACAGCTAATGTGGCAGAAAGTAGGTAGGGCCTGTGGTGCCCAGGGAGCAGGGCACTGCAGGGAGACTGCCCAAGGGTGGATGGAGCTGCCACAGCCACTGAACCTCAGAGGAAATCACAGAATCCCAGCATTCTGGGTGGGAAGGGCCTCCACACCCCCAAGCCGTGGGCTGGCTGCCCCCCACCAGTTCATGATGCTCAGGACCCAGCCATGGCTTTGGGCACCTGCACTGCTGTGGGTTTAAAGTGAGGATGAGGTGAGTGCACCGGTAGTTGTGCACGGACTCTGTGCTGCTGCTGAGCGCATTCCTCACCAGGTGCTGTTAAAGGAAGTGTGCCATCGTCTGACAAGAGGCCTCTGTGTATGAATGGTGGGTTAAAGAACAGGGTCAGTGTGTAGGAGAGCTCTTGGCTCTCGAGTGGTAAGCACAGGAGCAGCGTGCTGTTGTGGTGCGTGGTCCTCCTGCTGTGAGTATGTGAGGCGGTGAGATGGAGGCAGAGTTGGGAGAGCTAAAGAAAAATCTTGCCAAGTAACACATAGAGGTACCACCGTGTCATAGAGTCTCAACACAGCTGGGATGGAAGAGACCCCCCCAACCATGCAGTGTGCTGTCTGCTCCCCAGGTCAGGCTGCCCAGTGCCCAGCCATGGCCTGGGGCACCCACAGCTCTGGGCAGCAGTGCTGGGGCTGCACCGCCTCTGGGTAAAGACCTTTCATTAGCACCTGACCTAAACCTCTGCTTTTTTCGTTTAGATTCCTTCCCCATTGTGCTGTCACTATCTGCTTCTGTGAAAAGTCAGCCTCCCTCCTCTTATATGCGTGTTCTTTTAGGGCTTTCCCTGCTTCTGGAGGAGGTTGTAAAGCACTGGAAGAAGATTTGGCTCTGCTTGCAGTGATTTGCAAAGGGAGAGAGAACAGAGGTATATCCTCCTGCTGCGTCATGGTCCATCTTCAGTGATGGGTGCTTTCCTGCTGCCAGCTCAGATAGGTGGTTAGGTGGATAGGTGGACCAGCTGGTGTCCATGGAGAGGGAGGCACCTGTGCTGGAGCTGGGCAAGGAGCTCTGCAGGGTAAGAGCAGGGCAAGTAGGGAACGGGACAGAGAGGGCAGCAAGGAGACGCTTCTTTGTTGACCTTTTTCACCTGTTGAGAACCTGGAGCCAGGCAGGAAGGCAGCAGGATTAAAGTGAGTGTGTTTTCCCACATCTTAGCTGTTGGTAGCACCAAATGCTGCTGGGCACTTGGAACCCATGGTTACAAAGGGCTGTGGGGCTGCAGGACTGTGCCAGGTGAGCTGCAGGAGTGCTCTGAAGCCACGCAGGAGCACACATAACACCTGCACTGTTTTCCCAGGCTTTTCCTCTTGACTTTTGGTGGAGAGAAGCCAGGATAAGCTGAACTTCATCAAAGGAAACAGGAACAGCCTGGCCCTAGCTCTCCCCATTGCACCAAACCGACTGCACATGGCAGCAAGCGCAGTGCAGGCGGGCAGCAGGAGCGTGCTGCAGCCTCATGGCACACCCATGCATCGCTGTGGGTGCAGCAGGGTGTTTTGGCTGGCAGCCCTTATCCAGCCCCTTTGGAGATGCCTGGTTTTGGCGTTCTCATGTTCTGCTGCTGCCTGTGTGAGCTGTGTGCTGCTTGTTGGCTGTGGCCCTCTCACTACACAGCAGCTTCGGACTGTTCCTGTGGCAGATGTGCACTGCTGGCTGCTCCCACAGCTCTGCTGTGACTCCCCTGGCAGGCTTGGTGACAGCTACCTGCAGGGTGTCCTGTGGCCAGCACTGGCCTTGGGGCACATGGCCCCCTTGGGCTCTGATGGGTGTCTGGAGCTGGAGTGGCTGCTGGCAGCCTGAGGCGATGCAGCAGAAAAGGGGTTCCTGCCTCTGTGCTCTCCTTTTCTTGGGCACTGCAGCCTGTGGCCACGTGTGGGTGTCACACAGCTCGGGCACGGAGTGCTGGCTTTCTGTGAAGAGGTGATGCATGAGCGGCCCCCCATGCCTGGCCATCATAGCTCGGTGTGGGACTGATCTTGGCTTGGGAGCAGCTCACCCTGCTGCCATGCTGGGATGCTATTGACTGTCTCTATATGGTATCTGTGCTTGGCTGCTGTTCAGTGCAGGATCAAAAGGAGATCCATTCTCATGGGGTCTGCGCACTTTGTAACTAATCCAGTACATTGTTCCAGCTGATCCCCAGCTTGGGCAGCCTGCAAGATCTAAGAAGTGCAAAGGCTGTGGCTGAGGCTGACCCTGTTGTTCAGCCCAGGCTCAGAGGCAGCACCTGTAGTGCAGTGTTTCTCCCTGCAGGAGGAGAGTTTCTCTTGGCTGCCCAGGGGCACAGTACCATGTGGGTATTGGTGCTCTGCTGCTCATTAGTGGGGCAGCCTGGCAGGGCCACTCTGTGCCACCACAGTGCTTTTGCTGATCCAAATTAGCAGTGAGTGTGCAGAGTGCTCTGTGCTTGGACCACAGTGAATGGGTGACCACTGTGAATCCAGCCTCAGCCAATGGGATGTAAATATTTACAAACCCCAGCAACTCTGGAATACCCAAGAAGCTGGATGGGGCTGGGCGTTCCAGGGTGCTGGAGGCTGCTTCAGGACAGGCCCTGCCCTCAAGGGAAGCAGCTGTCCTGGCCTTGGGCAGGAGGATGTGGGGTACTGGGAGGGCCGCACAGCGCACCGCAGCCCCATGGTTCCCAGGCTCCTTTCCAGCTATAGGAACTGGGCTCTGCCCCTGGGACATAATTGCTGTAAGAGAGGGAAGAGATGTCTTTGTGGGAAAAATGGGGCAGTTCTGCGTTTTGGGACAAAAAGCTCTTACTGCAAGATGCATTCTAGTTTTCACGAGTCCTGCTGCTCCTGTAGAGCGGGAGTCGCTGGTTGTCCCCTGCAGAGGCCCTGGGCTGACCGTGCCTTCCAGGAAGGGCCATGGTGATGGCGCAGGGAGCACCGTGCTCCTAGGAGGGCATTTGATCTGATGCTGTGCCTGGGGATGCAGGAGAGATGTCAGGCTGAGGTCTGTGTCCTGTCCTGCTGTGCCACCATCCAGCAGGGCCGGGACTCCTGCCCGTGGAGCTCTGTGTGGGGTGGCAGCAGGTCTGCCACACATCAAGGGGCACAGCTCATGTAGCGCTCTGGCACGGGAAGCTTTGCTGGGCGTACAGCGGTATCCCCTCTGCAAACATGTGCTGCTTCTGTCTGTGGGGTTTGCTTCACGTGCTGCCGTTCTGTTCTCTCTGCAGCCACCCAGCTTAAAAGTGCTGAGCCGCTCCCCAATGTCGGATGCCTCGGACACCTGGGAGTGCAAGGCGCAGGGCCCCTTGGCCGGCAGCGAGGAGCAGCAGACCCACAGGGCGACGGCCACAGAGGCAGGTGGGCAGTGCCTGTGCCCTGAGGAGCAGCCCGACGGGGCTCCGCTGCGGCGGCCAAGCGCCCAGAACGGGATGCAGGACACTGGGGCTGTGGGCACGGGGGTGAAGAAGAAACGGAAGAAAAAGGATTTGGGAGAGCAGGAAGGAGGAGAAAAAGCAACTGTGGAGATGAAACCAAAGAGGAGAAGAGAGCCTAAAGAACCAAAAGAGCCTAAAAAGGCCAAGGAGCCCAAGAAGCAGAAGGAGCCCAAGCAGAGGGAGGTGACCAAGAAGCCCCGGAAACCTCGGGAACCCAAAGCTCCCAAGGAGCCTAAAGACAGGAAGAGCGGCTCTGAGCCTGGCCCCAGAACAAGGCCCAAGAAGAGCAGGTGGGTGCTGCTGTGACCTGGGCTCGGTGACTGGCAAGGGCTGTGGGCTGCAGGGGCTGATGTGGGGTGCACCCTGGGGCAGGGACTGCCCCCCTACAGAGGCCGTGGGCTCTTAGCAGAGCTGTGGCTGAGGGCTCCCTCGTACTGCGCAGCCGAATACCACTGCCTCTGGTAATTCCTCATCCTATTAATTAACATCACTGGACAGAAGAGGAGCTCTGATTTCTTTTTAATTGGGAATGTGTGCAGAAAGCAGAGCTGGTGTCAACTGGCATCATTTGATTTACTGTCAAGGACTTTCTGTGTTTGTGGAGAGTCCTGTACAAGGCAGGCTTATTGATTGGAGCTGGGCCCTTCTCTAGTGCTGTAAATAACCCATAGGATGAATGTATTTGTGCCAGAAATGAGGTTAGTATGGGATCCGGCTCGGATTTTTTCATCAAAACCTTTCTTTGTTGGAAGACACCAGTTTGGTAGAGCTGCTTGAAGGAACTTTCCTGCAAACAGTCACCAAGAATGGGCTTCCCAGGGTCCACTGCATCCACCCACTTGCTTCCCTCCTGCCACGGCTGTCTGTGTGCAGGATGGGATGGAGCCCCAGATCTTCCCCTCCCCAGGGGCTCTAGCTCCTTTGTAGCTTTCTTGCGGGTGGAGGAGAGGTTGTGCCAGGGCGGCCATGCCCAGGGCTTAGGTGGATTGTATGGGGCAGCACAGCTCCCACAGCAGGCTGGTGGGGAGCTCAGCAGGTGAGAGCTGGGCTCTGCCCCTGGTGGAGCACCCACAGCTGAGCTGCTTAGTGCTGCCTCTTCTGTTCCCAGTGCTCTGCGCACAAAGGATGCCTGGCCCCGTGTCATGGACTGATGAGATGTGGGTGACAGGTCGAGCAGGGAGCTAGGGAGTAGAGCTGGAGCAGTGGGAAGGAAGAGAAGGATGAGGCATGTGCAGAGGCAGCACTCAGTGCCCAGAAGGATTGTGCTTTTCTTGGGAAGGACAAACTGCAGTCTCAGTCTCAGAGCACCTGCAGGGTCAGCGCCTGCCCTTAACTCTCCCTGTTTCCAAAAAGCAGGATTTCTGTTTGCTCTGTGTGGCCCATGGGCCAGCCAGGCGGTGTGGTCACCGTGTCCTGCAGGATGTGTGAGCATGCTGCTCTCCTGGAGCCTCCAGCCTGGCGCCAAGCCCAGCCTGGCCTCGTGCCCGGCACACAGGCCTGCTGTGGCCTTTCCTGGCAGGAGGCTGAACTGGAGGCCTTGAAGGCAGCTTGTTTCAACCTTTGCCAGAGATGAAGGATGCCGCTGGCAGCCTTTTCTAGTGCCGCCTCCGCTGCGCCTGCAAGAAACTGCCGTGTGGGTGGTTCACACACATCCACCCGTGGTGGAACCTTGGGGTCCAGGCCAGCGGAGGGAGGCTTGGGAAAGAGCAGACCTTGGAGGCTGGGGTCCAGCTGTCGTCCAGGAGCCTGCTGCCACCTGGAAGGTCCTTTGGTTGCCAGCAATGCCTTCACACAGTGCTAAAGGCAGCCTGCGACAGCGTGACCTGCCTGCCGTGGCTCCGGCCTGGTTGGCCAGGCAGGGGGATGTGGTGGGGTCACCCCAGCTGCAGTCTGGGGGCTGCTGCAGAAAGCAAGGCAGGGTCCATTATGAGACTCTCTCATGGTTGCCTTGGCCTGTGGCTCAGCAGACAGCAAACAAACCCACCTGAAGCAGGAACGGGTGCTGGGAGCAGACACCTGAGGTGGAATGGGAAGCCTGCTCCCAGCCGTGGAGAAGGCTGGGGATGTGGGACACCAGTGGGAGAGCCCCATGCCAAGCATGCGACTGGTGGGGCGGGCGCTCCATGCGGAGGGATTGATTGCTGGGAGTCCTCTAAGTGGCAGATAATGGTGGCATAATTTCTTCTAAATTATTTCTAATCACAGCCAACTACTGGCTCATGAATGAAACAGTTGTTAATTGTGACTTGCAAATCAATATCTCTGGAGTTATTGCTCGGATGGAAGCAATGCTCTCTGTGCATTTTCAGGGCCTCTAATTGAACTGCTGCTACAGTCAGGTCAAATTTGGCCTAAACAGCAGATTTTTAACTGTGTGGCTTTTGCTGGCCCCAGACAGGCATGATTGTCTCATGAAAATGGGGATGAAACCTCAGCGGGGCTTTGAAACCCACTGTTCTCTGCAGCTGTGCAAGTCTTACATGTGGAGGGGCTGCTGGTGAGAGAAGTAGATAGCTCTGCTCCCAGGCTTCTTGCTCAGCCCAGGGACAGGCAGCAACTCCTGAAAATCTTTCTCCTAGCAGTGTTTGTTGCAGTGGGTAAGGATGGCTGTGCCATCCAGTTGGATGGGGAGATGCTTGCCTGGCACCTCCTGGCTCCTTGCCCCATCTCTGTCACAGCATTCAGCCTGGCTCCCAGGTCCCAGGAGCTGTGCAGACTGGCAGTGAGCTGAACCCCATCTCCAGAAGCCCCTGTGGTGCCGCTCCCCAAGTCCTGTGCAGTTGGACCCTTTTGTCCTGATGTGCTAGAATCAGCTGGAAATACCTGATGATGATCAAAGAGAAGACAAACTGCCACCACTGCTGGCTGTGCTGTGCTGATATGTCCAGTGCTGGGGGAGGCCCTGGGAGCCCTGTGCTGCCCTTGGTAGAGGAGGGAGGAGCATTTTGGAGCAGAACCCAGTGCAAATGCCTTCTGGCTCCTCCCAGGACCTCAGAGCAGTATCTGACCATCAGTCTGTCCTGGCAGCAAGGAGCAAGGTCTATCTGTTGGTCTGTCCTGGCAGCAAGGAGCAGGGGCCCACCCCTGTAGAGAAGAAGAAGAAAGGGAAGAGGAAAAATGAGATCCCAGTGGACAGCTTGGATTTGGATCAGGATCTTCTGAGCCCATCAGTGCAGAGCCCTGAGGAGTCTGCGGAGTCGGCTGACAGCCAGGTATGGCCCCAAACCCTTGGCTGGGAAAATCCTGGCTGCATCTTAGTAGGAAAAGAGCTGGGCATTACCCTGTGCCTTCTGGCAGTGCCCCTCCCCAGGATGGCATGAGAAGGCTGCGGAGCATTCCTGCAGGGCTCTGTTGAGTGTGGCCTAGGGGCCAGCAGTACTGTGCAGGCTAGGCACCCTGCTCCAAGGCACAGTTGGGGCCTTGCACAGCACTGATAGCAGCTGCTCTACCTGTGGCAGCAGCGCAGGGGCTTACGTCTCATGGTGCCCTGTTCTTTCCCACCACCTCCACCCCACCTGTGCAGAGGATGGATGGTCTGGAGATCAGGCAGCCCTGGGACTCTCTTTCCTCAGGCTTCCATCCTCATGCCAGGCAAGGGAGGTACTCGGGCTGCTTGTTTCCCCATTATTACCTCTTTCATCCCATACACAGAAACGACGCTCTGGCCGGCAGGTGAAGAGGAGGAAGTACAACGAGGACCTGGATTTCAAGGTGGTGGATGATGATGGCGAGACGATAGCTGTGCTGGGAGCCGGGCGAACCTCTGCACTCTCTGCCTCCACTCTGGCATGGCAGGCTGAGGTAGGGCTGGAGGTGGGACTGTGGTGGTGGGGCTTCCTGCATGTCAGGGTGTCCCAAGAGTGTCGCTATGGGATTCGAGGAAGTGTAGGATCCTTCTGCAAGAATGGGAGAGCAGTGTGCATGTAGGAGTGTGCCAGCAGGAGGTCTGAGTGCACTGGGGGTTAGGTGAGGTCCAAACTGCCTCCTCCTGCTGGGAGAGTAAGGCCTGTGGGACATGTTCTTTAGCTGGAGTTGTACCTGAATGCATGACCAACCCTCTGCCTCAGCCCACCTTTGGCTCCTGTTTCTGTAGCTCTTGCCCTTGAGGTTAACCCAAGTATTAAGTATTTTGACTGACAGCCAAAGGCTTTGAGGTTGCCAGATCATTGTTTTCTGTGCACATTGCCGCTCTTCATCAGTCCTTCTGATTGTAGAGATGCTCAGCTTGACACCTGCCACAAACCTGCTCTGCTGGGCAATGTGGCAGGGACATGGACAGCGTGGCAGGGACCAACTGGAGTCACCATGGTGTGAAGCTCATTGCGCTTCCTTCTCTGCACACTGGTCTTGTTCTTCCTTCCTGCTGGCCTGTGTACCAGATGCCTGCAGCTCACTGCCTTTCTGTGGTCACCAACAAAGCTGCCAGATATTAATAACAGTCACTAATTGTTGTCCTGATGTTCTTGTCCCTCCCTAGTCCCTTTTATCATTTGGTGTGGCTATTAGCCAGACCTGCTGCTGAGGCAGTAAGACCTGGCCTGATGCCCCAGCCCTGTCTGGAGGGCTGCCCTCAGGACGTGTTGTCCTTTCCTTCAGCGGCTGCCTGGGGCCCCAACAGGCTTCCACCAGTGAACTCTTAAGTGAGATTTTCAAAACAGCAATTGGGAATGGATTGCCTGTGTCAGGTGTCCGTGCTGCAAGCCTGCTTCTCATTGTATTGCGTCTTGGACATCCACCTCGGTGTGCCCAGCTCCAGATGAGCTGTGAGGGCAGGCATCGCAACCAGGCTGAGCTGAGGACCTGCTCTGGGCTCTTTCCCTCAGGCTCTGCCAGTGCTGACTATGGCTGCTCCTGGCACCAGGATTGACCCAGCAGGACAAGAAGGGAGCCCTGAGGTCCCAGAGCTGTCCTCTCCATGGCCTGAGCTTGCAGTATTCCTCCCTGGATCCTGTGCCACAGAGCATTACTGGGAGGGCCTCAGACTCCCTGCTTGTTTTGTGCCTGCCATCTCGGGGCTGGGAGCAGGATGGTGTTAGGAACACCTCCAGCACAACTTTGTGGAGTGGGTGCCCGTGGTGACCATCAGAAGGTTCTGCAGCCTCAGGGAGAATTTCCTCACAGTAGGCCTAAAGTCCTTCCTGGTTCTGTCCCCTTACGTGTGCTGTGACCATGGGCAGGTGGCAGTGATGGAGTACCTTGCTTCTGTGAGTCTTGGCAGAGAAGCTCCCGAGCTTCCTCTTTTCTGGGCTGGTGAGCTTGCAGAGGAAGAGCAACTGCTCTGTGGTAGGGTGATGCCAGACAGCAAGCTGAGAAAACAACTCTCTGCTCTCTTTCCACTGTCACCAGGAGCCTCCTGAGGATGATGCCAATATCATTGAGAAGATCCTTGCCTCAAGGATGGTGCAGAAGGAGGTGAGTGGCATAGATACCAGTAGGGCGGAGGTCTTTGGACAGAGAGGGGAGGAGACCTGCCTGTCTTTGTGCGTCAGGCGCAGGTTATGCAGCAGGAGTCCTTGTCTCTGTGCTGTTCCTGCACCTGTGCCTTGCAAGGGGGTGGTGGGGTGTGCTCAGACCATCACCTCTCTGGGCTGGGAACAAGCGCAGTGCTTCTCCTGTCCTGGGGCACCAGGAAGCCTGTGGAGAGGAGTCAGACCTGGACTGGTCACCAGGTGTTTGTGACTCTCATCTTCAAGGCTGGTATAGCAACCGTGCTCCTCAGGGCCACTGAGCCTCAGAGCGAGCACTATGCTGTGCCTGGCCATCATTGCTAACTGTGAGACACAGCCTGCCTGGGGTCCGCACTGAGAATGCCCCTCCCGCCCCCCATGTTCTGCACAGGCTCTGGATGCCACTAATTTTCCTTCCCTTGGTTTCAGACTCATCCTGGAGGCCTGACATTCGAGATGGAGGAGTTCTACGTCAAGTACAGGAACTTGTACGTGCAGCGTTGTGGTGCTCTGTGCTGCAGTGGTGTACATTCCATGTGCAGCAGTGTGCTCTGTGTGCTCTCACCTCTGTCTCAGCCCCAGCTGCAGCTCTGGCCTTGCTGCTGCTGCTGCTCTCCTGAGCTGCCCAGGCTGTGGGGAACCGGGCAGCCACCGCAGCTGCAGTGCTCAGTCTTGTCCATGGCTTTTTCTGGCCTGAGGCCCCATGTGGCGAGGCATGAGCTGGGTGTTCCGTGGGTCTCTGGGAGCTCCTTGTTTGTCTTTGTGGTGGATAGGATCATTTCCCCAGGACCTCTTTGGTCACCTTTTGTTGATTTTTTTCCCTCTGCAGCTCCTACCTGCACTGTAAGTGGGCAACTCTGGAGGAGCTGGAGAAGGACCCCCGGATATCCCAGAAGATAAAGCGCTTCCGAAACAAGCAGGCTCAGATGAAGCATATTTTTACAGAGGTGAGAGCTGAGTGCAGCAGGCAGCCATTCCCTTCCCTGGCACAGCTGGGCCAGAGCTGTGGCTGAGCAAGCCATGACAGTGCCCTGAACATCCCTGGTGTCAGCAGAGGAAGTATGGGCAGGGTGACAGATAGCCCTTGCTGGTCACTGCCAACCCTGGCAGCATTGCTCAATGGGAAGGAAGGCAGCACACAGTGCTGATGGTGCTTTCCTCGTATGGGAACGTGCCTGCTTGTGATGGGACAGAGGGGAGAGAGACCTGTAAATACCTGGGTGTAGGGCCACTGCTGTCTGCTTTGCTATATAAGCAGATTAATCTTGTTTAGTATGGAAGGTGTTCTATCATTTATCTTTCTGTTCCAAAGATAGTTGTTGGATCTCCTCAGACTGCCCCTTATAATGTGAACTAGGTTGGTGGTCTATGAACATTTCTCCATGGAAGTAATTGCAAACTCGGGGGAGTGTGTGTTTAATTTCTGAATCCTGAGTCTGTCTGGGACTTTCCCAGGATGCAAAGAAAAGGCATATGTTGGATGCACTGTTCCACTGACAGTTTAACAAAGAGCAACTGCTCTTTCCTGTGACTAAGCTTAGCTTGGGGAGCTGTGAACACAGAAGCCTATTTTTTCTTATTCCCAAGCCCTAGACGCCTCTACCCAAGGACAACTGCTACTCTAAAGCCCACTCCTCCCCAGGCTTTCCATTCCCTCCTGAGCAGTTGCCGCTGGTGTATGCTGAGTAGAAAGTGGGGAAGAAGAGAGAGGCGGAGGGAACAAGGTGTCGTTCCTTGCAGAGGAACTGGGCTCCATGAGGGAACAGCTGCAGGGACCCAGGTGGTGCCGTGTGCGGTTCTGGTCTGTGGCAGCCACAGCTCTGGATGCTGTATATAAGCTGGAGCACACAGCTCGAGTCTTTGTGCCTCAGGGCTGGATGGGCTGGAGCAGACAGTTCTGCCTCCCAGCAAGGGCAGCACAGGGCCAGCAGCCGCTCCAGAGCGAGGGCTTTGCCTTCTGCAGGGCTTCTGCATCCTCCCTGCCCAGAGACAGATGTCACGTACCTGTGTCCATGGGCACTTGGTGTGCTGCACACAGCAAGCAGCATGCTGGGGACAGATGTCCCGCAGTTGTTTTCTCATGCCCACCATCTGTTTAACCCTCGAATCACCTTGAACTTACCTCTCCTTTTGCTGTCACAGCCTGACGAGGATTTGTTTAACCCAGACTATGTGGAGGTAGATCGAATTCTGGAGGTGGCTCACACGAAGGACCCTGACACCGGAGAGGTAAGTGGCTGCATCACTCACCTACCTCAGATGGGGGAGGAGGTTCAGCAGGACAGCTGGATCCAGCACATGCATCACGTCATCTCTCATCAACTTGCCTTTCCAGCTTTGCACAGCTCAGACCCTACTTCTGGGGGCCCCCTGGCACTGGGGTAATACAGGGGCCATTGAGCATTGCAGTGATTCAGTCTCAGTTGCAGCCTGTGCCCATGCCGTGGGGCTGAGCAGCCGTGAGCCCTACTCTGGTCTACTCTCTATGTGCTGCAGGAGGTGACTCACTACCTGGTGAAGTGGTGCTCGCTGCCCTATGAGGAGAGCACCTGGGAGCTGGAGGAGGATGTTGACCCAGGGAAGATAAAAGAGTTTGAAGCCCTCCAAATCCCTCCAGAAATCAAGCACATGGTAACGTACCCAGAGGTAACGTACCCAGCTGGCAACTGCTGCCCTGGGCAGGAAGGGGCTGTCTGTGTTTTGTCAAGGTCTAACAGTGGTCACCTTCTTGTCCCTGCTACTTCAGTGCAAGTCCCATATCCTCCCCTCTGGAGGTGTTAGCAGGTGGGATTTGCGGGTGGGATCCAGAGGCCAAGACCTCTCTGCGAATCTGCTGAATGTTTTGAAGCATTGTCCTGGTGCCCAGTCCTAAAATCAGGGCCTGGCCACACTGGACATTTGCCTTTTCCTCTCCATGAGTCTTGCTCCTGCTCTCTCCTGCTAGGAGCGCCCAGCATCTGAGTCCTGGCAGAAACTGGAGAAGTCCCGAGAGTATAAGAATAGCAACCAGCTGCGGGAATATCAGCTGGAGGGAATGAACTGGCTGCTCTTTAACTGGTATAACAGGTGAGGAGGGGCTGGAGCTCTGGGCTCCCGTGAGGGGCGCTGGCACATGCCTTTGCAGGAGTCGAGCTGACAAGCAGGGGCCTGACTGCAGCTGCTGAGAGCTGCCAGTGCTGGAGCTGATGGGCAGTGGCCTCAGCAGCTGTGTTTGTGTTTGAGTCTTTAGGAATGTCTCTCTGTGGTGATAGTGTGGGTCTGAAATACAGCTGATGTTTGGTATTGGTCAGACTTCTGATGACTCATTTTTGTGGGAGAAATGCAGAAGCATGCATGTTCTCAGCATCAGCAGGTTTTGTTCACAAGCTAGAGTGCACCCAAAAGACAGCTTCTTTCACACTAACTTCGAGTCCATCATCTGGAAGAGGTTGGATGGTCTGGCTTACCCAGACCACTTTGGGCCACTGACCTGATGTCTCCCACACCACGGAGTCAGGTGTGCATGGAGGTGACATGCTTGACAGCACATTGAAGGGCTAGTGACAGAGTGGTTCTTGCCCCTGAGGGCCACATTAACCTGTCCTTGCCCATATCTGCAGGAAGAATTGCATCCTGGCTGATGAGATGGGGCTGGGGAAGACAATCCAGTCAATCACCTTCCTCTCAGAAATCTTCCTGATGGGCATCCATGGCCCCTTCCTCATCATCGCTCCCCTCTCCACCATCACTAACTGGGAGAGGGAGTTTCGCACCTGGACAGAGATGAATGCCATCGTGTACCACGGCAGCCAGATCAGCCGCCAGATGATCCAACAGTATGAGATGGTGTACAGGGACACACAGGTGACTGATGCATGCAGCACTCCCAGGATGTGTCCTCCGATTCTGACTTCCTTTACTGAGGAAGCACTGAGTTGCACATGGGGCTTGTGGTATCTTTTAAGGACCCCTTTGGTGGCACTGTGTATGAGTAGAGAAGAAAAGATCCAGTTCAAGCAGAAAGGGGAAAATACAGCTGAGTCCCAGCCACAGCTGTTGTTCGGGCTTGATTATTTTGCCTTGAAGCAGTGCCTGGTTTGGAGGCATGCAGTCTGCAGCCAGCATGGAGGCTTGCAGGAACCTGCCCACTGCTTGAGGGAGGTGAATGTGAGAGAATCCCAAGTAGGATTCAGAAGATAACATTCTTATGGTGTCCAGCCTCTGTGGACTGCCAGGGTGTGAGACAGCGTCCTGCTGCCCTGCAGGAGTCAAGCGCTGTGTATGGTTTATGTCTCCCTAGGGCAACCCTCTGCCTGGGATCTTCAAGTTCCAGGTGGTTATCACCACCTTTGAGATGATCCTTGCTGACTGCCCAGAGCTGAAGAAGATCCAGTGGCGCTGTGTGGTCATTGATGAGGCGCATCGCCTGAAGAACAGGAACTGCAAGCTGCTGGAGGGGCTGAAACTTATGGCCCTGGTGAGCATGTCCTGCTCAGATTCATATGAGTAGGGTGGGTCAGAGGTGGCAATGCCAAGCAACGTCTCTGCCAGCTGCTTAGTCCCAGGGCCGGAGCTGAGATCTCCCTGTCTCAGAGGGAAGGATTGTTTGGAAGCCACTTAGTTGCTAAAGCAGCACTAATGAAGGAGGTCCCTTTGATGGGTGGGGAACTGGTGACCTGTATGGTGACATTTCTTTTGCTGAAGTGGAATACTAACCCACAGCTAGATGACTCCTCCTATGTCCTTGCATCTGCGTGCACTCCCTGACAGAGCACTAGCTGGCCACACAGCACAGCTTTGGACTGCTTCAGCATACAGAGATAGTGGCTGAGCAGCTATGTGCAACATCCTTTGCCTGTGGCGTGCCTTGTACCCTGCAGTGAGCAGGGCTGCCATATTTAAGGTGTTCTCTTAATCCTTTGCGAACATGGGACTAATCTGTGCCAGGGATAGCGGTGCAGGACTGTGTGTGATGAAAAAGGGGTCAGTGAGCTGCTCAGGGAAGAGATTTGGATGTTCACGTCCTTCATACCTATTTGCTGAGAAGAGGGCCATCAGGCCTATTGGCCCCATCTGGAGTGCTGTGTACATGTCTGGGGCCCCAACACAGCAGGGCTGTGAGCTGTTGAAGCAGGTCCAGAGGAGAGCTTTGAAGATGATTGGAGGGCTGGAGCACCTCTCCTATGAAGATAGGCTGAGGGAGTTGTGCTTGTTTAACTTGGAGAAGGGAAGGCTCCAGGGAGATGGCATCATGGCTTTCTGGTACTTGAAGGGAACTTAAAAACAGGAAGGGGACCAAATTTTTACGTGGTCTGATAGTGACAGGACAAGGAGGAATGGTTTTAAATTAAGAGAGGGGAGATTTGGATTAGATGTCTGGGGAAATGTTTTACTCAGAGGATGCTGGAACGTGTTGCCCTGGGAAGTTGTGGATGCCCCATCTCTGGAGGCATTCAAGGCCAGGTTGGGTGGGATCCTGGGCAGCCTGATCTGGAAGTTGGCAGTCCTGCCTGTTGGAATGAGGTGATCATTAGGGTCCCCTCCAACCTAAGATATTCTGTGATTCTGTGACCCTTTCCTACCCAGCTGGGTCACACTGACCTGCAGCTGGACCAAGTCATTTGCCCTTTTTTCGTAGCAGGTGACTCTTGACGATGTTACCGACATCAGGTCTAGCAGGAGGATTAGCCTGAGCAATGAGTGGATGTCCAGGTCTCTGGCAATGCTGAGGCAGAGCAGCTGGTGAGCCTGGGAGGCAGCATTCAGAACAGTGCTCTGATCTACCAGAAAAAAGTCTTGCCCCTATGTGCATGGAGTCTTGGGCTTTGTCCACATGCCAGCACAGCCCTACCGAGGGGCTCATGCCAGGGTAGGGCTGAGCTGTGAAGGCAGCGTGGGGGATCTTAGTGTTGGCTGCTCTTGCTGCACAGCCAGACTGTTGCACATCCTGGGGAGCATCCTGGGAACCACAAGACAGCATCTGGGTCAGCACTGTGGCCAAGGAGCCGCTCTGGGTGTTCCTTTGCCTCCTGGTCACACAGTGCTCTTTTGGGGCTGGAAGACAGTGAACGTTGTGATCTTGGGGCCCTTTGGTCCCAACCAGTGGGTCAGCCTTCAACCTGTTCTCTGTGTACACCCAGGAGCACAAGGTGCTGCTGACAGGAACCCCCCTGCAGAACTCAGTGGAGGAGCTCTTCAGCCTCTTGAATTTCCTGGAGCCACAACAGTTTCCCTCAGAGACAGCCTTCCTGGAGGAGTTTGGGGACCTGAAGACAGAAGAGCAGGTACCTAGAAGAGTGAGGCTGGTGACTTAGTGCAGATCACTGAGACAGCTGGCACACACTCAAGCTTTGTGGAAGTGAACACCACCCCTCAGTGCCTAAAGATCTGCTCTTTGCAAGGTGCAGTGCTACATGTAGGCCCTGGACTCAGCCAGGAGAAGCAAAACTATGACAGAGGCCATAGGCCAGTGCTGCTTTGGAGAGAGGAGACATGTGCCATGCCAAGGGCAGGGTCTGCTCCCTGCGTAGTTCCCCCCTGCCCCTTGCATGCTTGGGCAGCTCAGTGCACTCACCTTTCCCATCTTGTCCGTCCAGCAAGAGTGTAGGGTGCGTGAAGAAGTCCGTAAGTCCACGTGTCTGTCACTCTGTCAGGTTTCCTTGGAGAACCATTCTCAAAGATCCCCTCGAGTGTGGGTCATGGGGAGCAGCACAGTGCCCTGGGTTGCTTCACTGCACTTTGAGTGCCTAGCTTAAGTGAAGACTGCAGAAGATCATCCTAGAGGAGCAGGCATGGACGCATGGAGCTTTGATTAGCTGTGATCAAAGCTTCTGGTTTGCTGCAGCAGACGCATGTATCCAAAGCTGCCTGCAGCAGAACTGTGCAGAGTTCATGGCCCGTTCACTTGCCTGCTGCAGGGAAACCAGATCCTAAAATTGCCCTGTTTGTCAGAGCAGCTGTTTCAGGGCCATTTATAGTGGGTTTCCAGCCTGGAGAGGCTCTAATATTGCAGGCCTCTCTGCTGTTGTCTCCGTGTGCTTGCCGTGCAGGGAGGGCAGTGAATCTCTGCTCTTGCTCTGTCAGGTGAAGAAGCTGCAATCTATCCTGAAGCCCATGATGCTGCGACGGCTGAAAGACGATGTAGAGAAGAATCTGGCACCCAAGCAGGAGACCATCATTGAGGTGGAGCTGACCAACATCCAGAAGAAATACTATCGGGCCATTTTGGAGAAGAACTTCTCCTTTCTGTCCAAGGGTGCCAACCAGCACAACATGCCCAATCTCATCAACACCATGATGGAGCTGCGGAAGTGCTGCAATCACCCGTATCTCATCAATGGTGAGGGCTGTGCGCCGGCACTGGGGGTTGGGTGTCACTGCAGGGTTTACTTGTCGCTGCCCATAGGGCTCACTCAGCTCTGGCCTTCTGCCTGCAGTGATCTGCTTTGGTGCCCTCCTGGGCAGCCCAGCTCCCCTGCAGTGCTGCCTGCTGGTGGGCACTGCCAGCCTCAGGGTCCTACCAGGTTCTCTGTGTACAGCTGTTTCAGGGGCATTTTAGAGTGGAGTCCTCTTCAGCATTCCAGTGTGACGTGTTCTGTCAAGAGCTGGTGCAAGACCAGAAGGAGTGGAGTCGGAGGAATGTAGGGGCTTTTTGGAGATCTCTAGCCAGCCTCCCTAGATCTGTCAGCTGCAAGGATTCTCTTCCTTGCTGTTGCCCTAGACAGGAAGCTGGAATCAACTGCACTGCCAGCCTGACTAAGTGCATACATCCCTTGGGGTTGGAACTAGATGACCTTTAAGGTCCTTCCTAGCCCAAGCCTTTCTGTGATTCTGTGATCCATTCTCACCTGGCAGGGGCAGAGGAGAAGATCCTGGAAGACTTCCGTAAAACACACAGCCCGGAGGCACCAGACTTCCAGCTGCAGGCGATGATCCAGGCAGCTGGAAAACTGGTGCTCATCGACAAGCTGCTTCCCAAGCTGATTGCTGGTGGGCACAAGGTGCTCATCTTCTCCCAGATGGTGCGCTGCCTTGACATCCTGGAAGACTATCTCATTCAGAGGCGGTTAGTGCAAGCTTCAGCATTCACTTCGGCTCCTCCATGTTGTGTCCATCCTGCGCTATAGATACTGGAGTGGAAAAAGTCCAGGGTGGGGATTTTGTCATTCTTTGCCCACGTACCGAAAGATCTGAGTTACAAGTTAGCACCAATGGGTGCAGACTCCAGTGCTGGGCAATGTGATCTGGCCACTCTGCATTGCCCAGGACTGGTCCTAGGAGTGACCAGATGGAAAGCTGTTGGAGAAGGACCAGAGGAGCCACAAAAGATGATCAGGGGGCTGGAGCAGCTCCCCTATGAACACAGGCTGAGGGAGCTGGGCTTGTTCAGCCTGGAGAAAAGAAGGCTGCAGAGTGACCTCATTGCAGCCTTTCAGGACCTAAAGGGAGCCTGCAAACAGGAGTGGAATCAACTTTTGGGAAGGGCGGATAACAGCAGCTCAAGGGGAAATGATTTTAAGTTAAGGGAGGGAAGATTGAGGTTGGATGTCAGGGGGAAATTCTTTACAGAGAGAGTGGTGAGGTGCTGGAACAGCTGCCCAGAGAGGCTGTGGATGCCCCGTCCATCCCTGGAGGTGTTCAAGGCCAGGTTGGATGGGGCCCTGGGCAGCCTGGGCTGGTATGAAATGGGGAGGTTGGTGGCCCTGCATGTGGCAGGGGGTTGGAGATTTCTTATCCTTGAGGTCCCTTCCAACCCTGTGAGATAGGACCTTCCCTTGATCCTAGTTTGGGCTGACTGTATGCCCACACGCAGCCTGAGGGGAAGGAGCAAGAAGGGGTTTGTAGCTGTAGTGAGGTCAGGCCCAGCCATGACCCTGCTCTCACCTCTTCCCTCTTGGAGCAGGTACACCTATGAGCGAATCGATGGGCGGGTGCGTGGCAACCTGCGCCAAGCTGCCATCGACCGCTTCTGCAAGCCTGACTCAGATCGCTTTGTCTTCCTACTGTGCACGCGGGCGGGTGGACTGGGCATCAACCTCACTGCTGCCGACACCTGCATCATATTTGATTCAGACTGGAACCCACAGAATGACCTCCAGGTAACGGGCCAGGCAGGGCTGGACCATACACCAACTGCTCTGATACGGCGTGCGGCACTTGGAGAGCTGGCACACATCACGGGGGAACATCCCACTGTGGCTCTAAAAGCACAGGTGGGCAACACTTTGCCTGTACCTGCTGGTGGAGGGGTCAAGGAGAGCAAAGGCTGAAGCCTCATCCCCATTTCCTTGCCTTGGAGTGGTGGGTCTGGCTCCTACTCCAGCCCAGCCACAGGTGCTCAGTGAGGGGTGCCCCAGGAGGTGGAGATGTTGGGCTCGCATGTTTCAGCTTGTGACCTCTTCTCTCCTAGGCTCAAGCTCGCTGCCATCGGATCGGACAGAGCAAGGCAGTGAAGGTGTATCGCCTCATCACCAGGAACTCCTATGAGCGGGAGATGTTCGACAAGGCCAGCCTGAAACTGGGCCTGGATAAGGCTGTGCTGCAGGACATCAACCGCAAGGGCGGCACCAATGGGGTAGGTTAGCAATCAGCGGGGTTCAGCAGGAGGCTCTGAGATAGAGTATGTCTCCTTCCCATCCTGTTCCCCCGTTTTCTCTGGGCAGCTGTGCGGGGCTGTGTCCCCACATGGGGCTAAAAGCCTCAGATTCAAGTAGGATGGTTCTCACCTGAGCTCAGACCAGACCATACAGTTCTCTGCAGCACCAGTCCATTGTCAGATTGGCCAACATTCCCAGCCTGTCTGTTCCTCTCCTACCAGAGCTTAAGAGGCCAAAGCCTGTGTGGCTGCCCTGCTGCCCCACATGAGAAGAAATTGTAGGCTATATTAGCAGCCCACCCAGCCCATTTCAGCCATGCAGAGTTTTTTTATGAGCATTGGGCAGTACTATGCAAAGCAGAAAGGTAGACTGGAGAGAGAAAGAGGCTGGGTAACTCTTGGAAGAAGTGCAAGTGGCTGCTAAGTTGCAGCAGGCTTCTGGGTAGCGAAAGCCCAGTCCTACACGCTCACACTGTGGCTCACACCTGGCAGGCTGCCCCTGCACTGTCACGGGGTTTGTGGACACATGGTACTGTGTCTGGTTGACATGGACTCATGCAGCGGGAGGTCTGGGTCAGAAGAGCCTTCTCCCATGGTGCTGGTGCCCAGAGCTGGCAGGGGTGGAGACGGTGTTGTGTTTGGGCAGGTCCAGCAGCTCTCAAAGGTGGAGGTGGAGGACCTGCTGCGGAAAGGTGCCTATGGTGCTCTCATGGATGAGGAGGATGAAGGATCCAAGTTCTGTGAGGAGGACATTGACCAGATCCTGCAGCGCAGGACGCAGACCATCACAATCCAGTCCGAGGGCAAGGGCTCCACCTTTGCCAAGGTGTGTCGTGCTCTTCGGGTGGTAAGGGAACTGCCTCGTGGGGCAGAGGGGGCCACTCTGGGGGGTGTAGCTCAGTCCTGTTGGCGTGGCCTCTTCCCTGTGTATGGCTGAAGCTGTCCACCTGGAGGCCAAGCTCTTCTGCCTGCCCCTGAATGCCCAGGAGTAAGACCTTGTTGGAACATGGAGACAGCCATTCTCCTCTGGAGTGGCTCATGGTCTCAGGAGATCAGCAGAGCTGTGAGAAGGCGGCTGCTAGCCTGAGAGAATTGAGAGCTGTGCCAGCCTGGCAGTGTGCACTTGCAGTCCAGAAGGCCAACTAGATCCTGGTCTGTGTCAAGGGAGACACGACCAGAAGGGCAGAGACGTGATTTTCTCCCTCTACTCTGCTCTTGTCAGACCCTGTTCTTGTGAGTACTGCATTCAGCTCTGGGGCCCCTGGCACAAGGATACAGAGCTGCTGGAGTGGGTCCAGAGGAGGCCATGAAGATGCTCAGAGGGCTGGAGCACCTCTGCTATGGAGACAGGCTGAGGGAGCTGGGGGTGTTCTGCCTGGAGAAGAGAGGGCAGAAGGGTGTGGGAAGGCTTTGTGATACCTTCAGCACAGCCCATCCCTGTGGCCAGTCTCTCTTCTGCCATAGGACCTGGCTCTGTAACAGGACCCCTGGAGAGGTGGCAGGACCTGGCTGCTGGCCTCCACGATGCCAGAAGCTGTGCTGCCACACCATGGGGAGCTGTGTGCCTTGGGGTCCTGACAGTCCCACCAGAGCAGCCTCCTGCAGCCAGCTCCCAGGAAGGAGCCCAACAGGCCGGCTCTGTATTTGGCTGCTGTCCTTGGGGAGTCATCAGGCTTCCCTCCACTTGCAGGTGGCACAGCCCAGACTCAATTTCCAGCAGGCCAGACAGGACTGTAGTGGAAAGAGAGTCAGCTTCCTTAGGCAAACAGAAGAGCCTTCTGACATATGTAAACATAGGGTGCAGTGCACTGCGGATCTATGCTGGGAAAAGCACATCTGGAGAACACAGCTGCAACCTGCTCACTCACCTTCTCTCACTCTCAGGCCAGCTTTGTAGCATCAGGCAACAGAACTGACATCTCCTTAGATGACCCTAACTTCTGGCAAAAGTGGGCCAAAATAGCAGAGCTTGATACCGATGCCAAGAATGAAAAGGTAAGATCCAGTTCATGGCCTATGAGCCCCACAGCTGGTACAGAATTGCCTCCCACCTAAGTCTGGGAGGTCCTTCAGTGGCTATGTAGATCATATTCAATCTCCAAGAACCAAACCTCTCTAAGATCCAGAAACAAATAGGGCTGAGGGGAGCTGCCCAGGCTTCTTCAGCCCAGGTGGAGCAAGTGGGGGGGACAGGTTTGAATTATGCCACTGGTTTCACCATGTGTATTTGCAGCCCTGCTGCCTTGCCTTCAGGCTAGTGATGGGAATGGGAACAAGGAATAAAGCCAGGTTATCAGGCAGCCCATCTCTGTGTCTGAGCAAGGAGATGTGGTCTGTCAGTTGGATGCTACAGTGATCTTGCCTATTGCCCTGCTTGGCAAATAGGCTCCTTCCCAGCAGGGAATATGGGGAATGTGGCTGCTGGAGCCAGAGCTTGGTTTCCCCTGACCTGATTGCAAAACTGCTGGACCTTCTGTGAGCATCTCCCAGGGTAATATCCTTGCACCTCCTATGCACCTCTGTGAGCATCTCCCATCCTTGTTCTTGGCCCTGCCTGCTGTGTGAATGCTAAGACGAACTGCAGCCTTGCTGGTACATCTGGAGGCAGCACAGCTGGGGCTCCTGCCCTGAGTTGGGTTGATGATGACGTGGATGCATTTGGCATTGATGGGAAGGAGGCATGTGCATACCACTTGTTTTCATGTTGCTCCTTTCTGCCCCTTCTCGGAAGCTGCCTTTCCTTTTCCAGCCTACCTGTCTCCCCATCAACACAGCAGTTACACCACCTTCAGCACTGCTTGTCCCAGGCATTGCTGGGAAGGCCAGGATTGTGAATCAGAGCTGAATCGGCTGCTGAGCATCAGCAGTTTGACCTCTGAAGGCCCGATTTTCAGCCTCTGAGCATTCAGGCAGAATTATGTGCTGTCTCTGAATTGTCTTGTGTGCACATGAAGCAAATTTGGGACTGGAATCCTTGTGGCAAGGTGGTGACTAGCCCCAGGGCTGGGAACTAGGAGCCAGAGGTGTGAGCAGAGCAGGGAGCAGCAGCAGGGAGAATTTACTGTGCCGTGGAGGACAGGTGTTGCAACCCACACCTGAGTGCATTCCCTCTTTGTCCCCATAGGAGAGCTTGGTCATCGACAGGCCCCGTGTGCGGAAGCAGACCAAACACTACAACTCCTTTGAGGAGGATGAGCTGATGGAGTTCTCTGAGCTGGACAGTGACTCGGATGAGCGCCCCACTCGCTCCCGGCGCTTCAATGAGAAGACGCGGCGGTACCTGCGGGCTGAGTGCTTCCGTGTGGAGAAGAACCTGCTCATATTTGGGTAAGTCTCCCCCCTCCCAGAGACCTCAGACACGGCCTCCAGCTGCCCCAGCACACAGGTGGGCCCCCAGCTGCCGCAGCCGCGTTCTGTCCGTCCTCAGCAATAGATACCCAAAGCAGTGTTCCCTTCTAGCAGTGACCCGTCCCCGTGGTACCTGGACTCCTAGGCTCTGAGCAAACATTTGGGTGGAAGGGGAGTTTAAAACAAAGCGCGAGCTGGTTGTCAGGGCTTCCAGAGTCTGCTCTTGCTACAGCCTGTTCAATCCTGTGCAAACTTCTCCCCATCTCTACTCCCATGATGTGGGGACGTAAGACCCTGTCCGTGAGAGTTGTGCCCTTTGTGAACTCACGCAGCGAGGTCTCCAGCTGCATACGAGTGTTTATTGTCTCTATTACTGCGGTTCCAGCTGGGGACGATGGAAAGATATCCTGACCCACGGGCGCTTCAAGTGGCACCTGAACGAGAAGGACATGGAGATGATTTGTCGAGCACTGCTGGTTTATTGTGTCAAGCACTACAAAGGGGATGAGAAGATAAAGAGTTTTATCTGGGATCTCATCACACCAACAAAGGATGGCCAGAACCAGGCACTGCAGAATCACTCAGGTATTGCGTGTTCTCTCTGCCATTGCAACAGTACCTGTCATTAGCGTGCCTTCTGCAGGACTAGGCTGAAGAATTGAAAGCAAAGCCATTTGAAACAGCCAGGAAGCGCTTGTGGTGGAGCATGACAACTCTCTCATTGTAGATAAAGTGTCTGCCATGGGACTGACCTCCATACAGACCTCAGAGACAGCAGCAGGGGCTGCCTTTGTGTGGGAGTGCATTTCATGGCTCCTGATGCTTGTTTGGCTGTGGCTGGTGTGGAGAGAGCTTTGCAGTGAGAGCGGCCTGCAGAGTTTTATCTCGCTGTACTGTCAGGGTTTCCTTGTGCTGGGGGACGCTGCACTGTGAGCTCATAAATGTTGGTGACCAGGTGAAGATGTTGGCTGGGACAGTTCTGAGGGTGTCTGGCTTTTCCTCAGAGCAGCTTAGGATGCAGAACAGATCATCACACCTGTGCCAGCCCAATACAAAGGCTAAAGTTGGATCTGCCTGGCCCTGGCCTTGCAGCTGCTCGTTGTTTGGAGATGGTAAGGGACACTGGCAGTGCAGTCTGTGCAGCTGTCTCATCCTATGTCACCAGCTTGTGCCTCCTCTTGTCACAGTTCTGGTCCCAGACACCCTACTCTGTAGTGCCTGTCCTGGTTGGTGGGAGTGCAGTATTGATGATTTGTCATGAGATGCTGCAGTGCAGAATCCTGCTGAGGTGGTGCAGGACCCCTTGTCTCAGGTCTGGCTACACCCTCCCTGTCGAGAGGACTAGTGCATGTATATATGAACTCTGAATACCCCACGTATCACACCATGTGTTCAGAGTATATTTGCATCTGGATTCCGTTGGGCTGAGGCTTCCTACGTGTCCTCAGCTTCTGATGGGGTCCAGCAGAGGCTTTCCTTGCTCTACTCTCCTGCTGCCCCTCTGGCTCCTAGGGGCTGTGCAGACTTTCCCCCGTGCCTGTGTTGCATCATCTGCTCCCTGTAGGAGTCCCTTGCAGCACAGCAGAGTGCCATCACGCAGCCATAATGGCCTTTCTCTTCCCTGGTATGAAGCCTGTGCTGGCTCCTTGGGCTAGCTGGAGGGTTGCAGCCTGGGACACATGTGCCCATTCTGTGTCAGAGGACTTTGCACCAGGCAGAATCACGCCTGCATCACACGGCTTTCAGGACACGTGAGTTGGGCTGGGAAGCTGTGGGGGAGCCCTTAGCGCTCTCTTGGGGTGATCAAGCCCCATGGCTGTGTGCTACTTGTGGGGCACACAGTGAGGAGCGAGGAGGCTGGGTCTGCCCAGCCTGCTTTTGGCACCACTGAGACAGGCTGATACCTGAGACTCCTGTTTGAAGACAGCGGCATGCAGGTGGAGCACCTCCAGAGCAGGGCTGTCACTGAGCCCAAGGATGTGCTGAGCACGACACGGTGCTCAAACAACACGGTGCAGTCTCAAGACCCAGCGCAACTGCTTCCTTCTGTGTGGAAATGTCTGACTGGCATACGGCATGAGGTCTGAGCATGTGGCCTTAGGGGCTTCCTCCAGTCACTTCCTTCAGCGGGAGCTGCTGGCAGGGCTCCCTTCTGCTCTGCCATGCAGCCCTGCATAGAGCAGCTTAGAGCAGCTGGTCTGAGCTTGAGAGCCCTGTGGGGAGCAGAGCAAAAGGAAGAAATGAATTGGCTGATATGAATGGGCTTGATGTAAGTAGTACCAAGTAACAAACAAGCAGCGGTTTAAGTGAAGTATCAGTAATGCTTTACTGCAAAAAGCAGCATTATAACCCATGTGTTTGGATATTTAGCACAGAGAAGCAACCTGAGCTTCTCTGTCAGCTTTTCAGCTATGCGTTGGCCGGAGGTTGACAGAACCATCTAGTCTAAAGTTGGGGGCTGGAGGAGAGCAGAGCCCTCCAGTGCAGAGCAGGCACACAGCAGGTGCTGCCATGGCTCACCAGGGAACCAGAGCTCTCCTGGATGCGGAGCTGATGAAGCAATACATGTTCCAGGCACTTCTGATGGGCAGAAAGCAACAGAAAACATCCAGCCCTTGCACGTGCCTCCTGGATCCTCAATCCTGTGTCAGGGTGACTGTGAAAGGGTGAGTGGGAGCTGCAGCCAGCCCTGCCCAGAGCTCTGCTGGGCCCACCAGGCTGCTGCTGGCCATCCTGGCATGGGGCTGAGCTGCGAGAAAGGCAGAGTTTGCCCAGACTTTGTGATGCCAAATTGGTGCTGGGGCAGAGCCTGGTGACCACAGCTGCCTGAGCTGGAGCCGTCTTCATGCCATGGAGCTGCAAGCACTGTGCAGGTGTTGAGGGCGCCGTGATGCTGTCTGTTCTGCCCGGTGTCCCAGACAAATGGCTGCGGCAGCAGCACTGAGGCTTTTCTTTCCCCTGTGTGTGACATCAGCGGGACTCTGCCTGGGAAGTGCACAGTGCAGCTCGTCTCCCTTGGAATACTCCAAACAATAGTGACCTCACCGGGCATCATTCCCGTGCTCTGCTCTGAATTCACATGTTATTTCAAGGTTGAAAATGTGTTTTTCAGCTCCAGCCGCAGGATCTCACTTTATCTTTGTCAGCCAGATGGAACCGCGTTGCTTTCTCATTCAGTGTGTTTGCCAAGTGCAAATACCACCTGCAGTGATCTGGTTCCCACATAGCCCTCCTTCTGATGCATGGAATGGGAAACAAACCCAAAAGATCAGATCATCAGGATTATTTTCTGGTCCTTGATCATGTGGAAGCCTCTTACTTGAACTCTTGTCCAGAATTTCTCTGTAGTCCCTAGAGGGTGAGCTTCAGAGGCAGTGTTGGCCAGGGGCTCTGAGAGCTGTGCCCAGGGCTGAGGTCCATTTGATGTTTTCATACGTACATACATCAAGGGATCCTGTTATCCCTTGGGCTCAGCACTGCACTGTTTCTGTGGTGATCCCCACACTCTTCTAGGAGATGGAGTCTCCCATGCTCTGGGTTTACCTCATGAGCTTCATTGGCAGCTCCTTCACCTGTGTTGGGCTGAGTGAAGATGTTACAAACCCCCTGACATCTGTCAGCTTTGATCCATCTGAGATGTGCCACATCTATCCCATGTGATGCAAGTGCTAAACAGAAATGGCACGTCATGTTAAACAGAGTGTCAGAGTGCTGCTCGTTGGCTTTATCAGACAGCCCTGTAGTATTATCAAAAAGCAACAGCCTGTTTTCTTAAGATCTTTCCTGTCCCTATCCAGCGCTGACTGATAATTTTATCAGAGCTGTTGCAGTGACAGGGGAATGAATCTTCCTGTGATTTTTCCCAGCCCAGTCCTTCTTTCCAGTCCATCCCTTTTACCTTATGATACACCTTTCAAGCTGTGTGGCCACTCTTGTCTCTCTGGTCATGGGCACAGAGATCTCGGAGATGGGTGTGATGCTCCCAGCTCTGTTTTGGAGGTGATCTGAAGAGCTACAGGTGAGGCAAACTGGGGGCTTTGAAGTGTGCTGAGCAATGCCTGCCCCACAGCTGCCAGCCTTACTGGTCTGCAAGAAGGGTGATGACCCCACCACCTACCTCTGCTGTTCAGTGGCAGCATTTTATAAACCTGGGCACATACTTGTCTCTGCTACCCTGGCTTGCAGGCTGCAGCCCACAGCCGTGCAGGGCTCCCAGCCGTGCTGCCTTGACACAGCTGTGCTGAAGGTGCCTGGCCTGGCCCTCAGTGCCCATGGTGCTCACTTGCTGCCACTTGCTGTTACAGGTTTGTCAGCACCAGTGCCCAGAGGCAGGAAGGGGAAGAAGACAAAGAACCAAATGCTGCTTCCTGAGATAAAGAACGCAGACTGGCTTGCTACATGCAACCCTGAGGTGGTCCTGCATGATGACAGCTACAAGAAGCACCTCAAACAGCACTGCAACAAGTGAGTGTAGGAGCCCGCGACAGCTTGTGGGGCATGAAGGGGGTGGGAGTGAGCCGTGGGGGGCTCAGCCCTTGCAGAGCATCATGCTTTGGTGCTCCTCCTGCTGACAAGGCTGGAGCAGTGTTCCAGGCAGCAGCCGTCAAGCTGCCCACCCTACAGGGAGTCAGCGTTCAGAGAGTGAGTCCTCCCATGTGGGAACACCACGTGGAACAGCTTTCGCTGCCATCAAGACCTTCACGGCACCCCCCTGTAGATGCTCCAACGAGAGTTCTGAGTACCTGCATGCGAATGTGTGTTCTCTGTGTGCCCGAGAACAGGGTTCTGCTGCGAGTGCGGATGCTGTACTACCTGAAGGCTGAGGTGCTTGGGGAGGCCGCTGACAAGGCCTTCGAGGGCACTCCTGCCAGGTAGGAACTTCAGGTGAACCCCAGCTTTGCTTCTCATGGTGACGGTAGTGGTGCTTGAGCAGCGTCCCTGTCAGCCCGGCCCAGGCAGGCCGGGTGAGCCAGGCACTGCAGCCCCATCACCGACAAAGCTGCATCCTTTGGTGGTGGCTGTGTGTGAGCAGGGGCTGTGGCAGCTCTGAGGCCGCAGTGCCATCCCCAAAGAAAATCTCTGTGTGCTGCCTGATGAATTGGCCTTCAGGCCCAAAGGAAAAGCCTGCAGGGACTGCACCCGTTTCCCAGGGCCAGCCTCAAGCAGAATGTGCCCCACTGCTGGGGCCTACTGTCTCTTCCCCATGCTGAGGACAAAGGGGCTCTGCTAATGCCACCCAGCTCCTGACCTACCCACTATCAGCTCTTGGTGCTTCAGAAAGAAGCATGAAATACTCAGATGAATTTCCTGCAGGAGGGGCTGCTGCCTTCCCCAGGATGGTTTGTGCCAGCCCAGCTCCATCAGCACAAGTTTGTGTGGAGGGAATGTCGCACCCCAGCCTGCCAGCTGTGCTGCTCCTGTGGGTCTGGCTGGCTTGCAGTGCTTCCTCCGAGCAGACAGGAGCTCTTGTCCCCTGATGTTTCTTGAGCGGGAGGGCTGTGCGGTCTTTGGAGAAACAGCACAGGAAATGCTGTGGGTGCAGTGGAGCAGACCCCAGCTCTCCCCAGGGAGACGTGTCAGGCCAGCCCTACACTCCAAGCTGTCCCCAGCTCTGGCCTCCCCCTGCCCCTGTCCCTCAGCCCCTGGCACACTGCCGTGCCTGGTGAGGCTGCAAGAGGAGTGCTTACACTTGTCTGCTGCAGAGAGCTGGATGTGCTGCTGCCAGACATTGACTACGTGGAGATCCCAGTGGACTGGTGGAATGCTGAAGCTGATAAATCCTTGCTCATCGGTGTCTTCAAGCACGGTATGTTGCCAGCTTGTGTGGGAGGTGGGCAGCGGGTGAGAGGGAGCAGCTGGCCAGAGCCACAGGACTCGAAGTGGATGTGGTTTGTGTGCTCCCACATCCATGTAAGGGGCAGAGCTGCAGCCATGCAGTGCAGCTGTGCAGGGCCAGAACAGCTCTTTCCAGTCACCTGCAGCTGTGCAGGGTCAACGCAGCTCTTTCTTAGATGTACAGCAGGAGGTTCACCAGAGCAAGGCTCAGGCCTACCCTCACCCTGTCTTTCTCCTCTCTGATGGCTTTGGCAGGTTATGAGAGGTACAATGCCATGCGGGCAGACCCGGCGCTGTGCTTCCTGGAGAAGGTGGGCATGCCTGATGAGAAGCTGCTTTCTGCAGAGCAGGGCATCAGCGATGGGGCTCAAGACACTGCTGAAAGGTAGGCAGGGGATGAGCCGAGCCCTTGGGTGCTTTGCAGAGCTCCTGGGTCTGTGTGAGAAGCTGGTTGGTGTTAAGCAGTGAGCTATGCTTATGGAGGGCAGTGAGGGGAGAAGGAGGCAATGTGGATGGGAGCGTGGCAGGCACTGGGGAGCACAGGTGGGAGCTGCTCCATGCTGCAGGGATGGAACTGCTGGCTGTACTGCTGGCACTGCGAGAGAAGTGGCATCTTACTATTAGGACTAATTTTCTGTCTTATCCAGGGGCACCATGGAAAAGGAAGAGAGCAACGGAGAAAAGCTGGAGGGGCTGCCGAAGCAGGAGGTGAGTGGGATTGGCAGTGATGGATGCTGCTGCCAGGGCTGCTGTCCTGCCCAGTGCTACAAACATGGCTCAGCTCTGCAGTGGAGCACAGGGGAGCAGTGCTGCCTGCATCCCTGTTCTGTGCAGTTGCTGCCTTGCCAAGCACAATCTCTGGCCCATGCCACTTCTGCTTGTTGGAGCATGGCTTTTTCTTGCTGACCTGGACAGCATCCACTTCCCAGGGAGCAGAGGGATGTCGGGGGCTGGGAATAGCCAGGAGGCTCTCATGCTTGGCTTCGGCAGCCATAAAGGGCTTTGGCAAAGGAGCCAGGATGACAAGCGGTGGATCAGGCAGCCCATGAGGGTGTGGCGTTTGTGTGGTGCTGTCAGTGCTGCTATGGCCCAATTCATTGTGGTGGGGCCCAGAGGAGACAACGCTGCATGCTTGAGCTGTCAGCTCTGCTGTCAGCACTGCTCTGCTCCCGTGTGCTGAGGGCTGCGCGCAAGGATGTGTGGTCCTGCGGCCCAGTCCGTGCCAGGGCCATGGAGGGAGGGCTGGGCAGCGTGACCTCCTGTGCAGCTCAGCAGCGGTTCCTCTGATGGTTTCTTTCTGCAGGACGTTGTGGCTGCTGGGGCAGGTGAAGCTGGCGAGAAGCGGGATGAGCCATCGGCAGGTGAGGCTGAATCTCCCACAGCATGGCACGGTGCTGCCCAGGGACTGGCACAGGAAGGGCAGAGCAATGGCAGGGGCTGCTGGGGGGAGGGAGGGGTTGGGTCTGTGCTTGTGGCTGAGAGCATAACCTGGGCAGCAGTGCATACCCAGCACTCCCTCTGGCTTTGCTGAAGGGCAGAGGAGGCTTGCAGAAAGCCTGTTTGGCACATTGCCCTGCTGGCTGTAGGAGGAATGTCAGGCTTGGCTTTGCTGTAGCCCAGTGCAGTGATGGCAAGAGCATTTCTGGGGTGAGAGCACAAATGTGCTCTGAGAACTGAGTCATGCACAGCCCAGGGATGGGCTCTGTGGCAGGGCAGGCAGCATCCTGAAAGAGCAGTACTGAAGCCAGCTGAGATGAGTGCGTGGGGTCTCTGCTGTTGGTGCCGTGAGCTGCCAGCCTCTCTGCAGGGCAGGCAGGGCAGAGTGAGTCCTGGAGGCTGTTTAGCCCAGAGCCGTTGCTTCTACCCCAGTCTCTGCCCTTGGGCTCTCTGAAGGAGGTTCAGACGTGGTCGGGGTGTGAGCCAGCAGCTTTTGGGGTGCACAGGCCTCGGGGTGGCCACCACAGACAGCCCCTCTTTCCCAGTCACACGAGGTGAAGGTGGGAGGGAGCTCCCGGAGGCAGGTGGCAGCGCGCGGCCCTGGGGCTCTGCAGCGTGCGTTAAATACTGATGTCCTTGCTGATGTTTGAAGCCCAGGATGGCTCCGACTCAGACAGATCCTGCTGGCCTGTCTCGTCTGCCCTCACAGCCAGGCTGCGGCGGCTCGTCACTGTCTACCAGCGCTGCAACCGCAAAGAGTTGCCTGCGCGCAGCGAGATGCTGGTGCCTGGTAACCATGGATACTGGCTGCAAGATGAGGTGTTCCGGAGAGCCTCTGAGATGGACTCGGTGAACAAAGAGATGCAGAAAAGGTAATAGAGCAGCAAGTCCAGGTAGTGGGTCCTTTTCACAGCTGGTTTAGGCCTGGTGATGTCCCTTCTCCCCAGCAGCCACTGTCCCTGCAGCCGGCTGCCTGCAGCAGAGGCACATGGCTCCTTCCTCCACTGTTCCCAGCACTGGGGACCCCGAGGCCTGGACACCAGCCCAGCCCAGGGAGTGGCCTGCTGTGGTTTGCAGATAATGGCTGTTGGCAGCACAAAGCAAGCAGAGGATAGCCCATCAGGATCAAATCCAGCATCTGCTGGGCCGCTGAGCAGAGCTGTGTGCTCAGAGCTCATCGTAGGTGAGGGGTGACATATGAGCACCGTTGGCCTGCCCAGAATGCCCAGCCCTCCTGGCTGCATTAGCCTCCTGCTAGAGGCTCCTGGACACTGCTGGTGGCTAACTGCCGTGTGTTCCCATTCCATTGCGCTCCAGCAAATGGTGAGACTGTCACCAGGTACCCAGCACCCCCTTTTGCCCATTTTGAGCACATCTGCTGCTCCTTCCTGTTTCATGGGAAGGTCTGACGCATTTGTCTTTTGAAGATAGTGTTACTGGAGCCTCAGCATCCCTCCCTGCTCACTCCGTGGTTATATGGAAGCTGCTCCAGCCCACTGACCTTCCCTAGAGCTCTGTTTATCACACTGGTCAAGATGTTGTTGTGCTGTAGATGCTGCAGCAGCCAAATATTTCCTGTACTTTATCTCTATGGGCCCTTTTTTTGGTCACCTCACCAGTGTGTCCCTTCAACTGGAAGTCTTGTAATAAGCTGTGCTTTGGCTCGTTGGTTTGGATCGTTCTTTTTTTTTATTGACTTCCTTCATATTATTCTCCTTTTTGGAATGAAACATCACTGCAGAAGACTCAGCCTGTGGGAGGAGGGGTGGAAATGCTGGTCTGGGTGTACTGGGTTGGGTTTGGAGTGCTGTGGGTGCTGCTGCCCTGTCTGCTCTCCCTTGATGAGTTCCAGTGGCTTGCAGCCGTTGGCACAGGGATGCATTCTGGAGCTCGGATTTGACTTCAAGATTTCTTTTGCACAGGGCACTCACCTGCTTCTGCTCTGGCCCTACAGTTTGTTCCTGACCTCTTCTCTGTAGCCCACATTTCTCTGCTGTTTGCCCAGGGCTGTATGTACCCCATGCAGTCTTCACCATTTCTATCCTGGATTGTTCCCTTGTGTGATCCCTATGGGATAAAAGCTCAGGGAGTCTGAGGCAAGGTGAAAATAATGATGTAACTGTACTGCAGCTATAAGAACTCATCTCCAGGGCTGCTTTCCTTCAGTGGTGAGCAGGTGACACCTGCCCTGTCACCAGTAGTCCTGCTGACTCCTCTCATCGGAGGGACAGGTGTTTGTTAGTAGGAGCCTTGTGGCAATGAGCCCCAGTCCCAGCTCACCTCCTGAAGTGGATGGATGAGAACTTTGTCTTCAAACTGCTGGTACTAGAATTGAGTTTTCTGAAGAGGTGGTGAAACTGAACCCCATTTGGTAGAAAGCAAGTTGATACGATAGCTTTGTGCATCCACAGAAGCTGATGGAGCTTGCCCTCCATTGGCAGCACAGCCAGGAGCTGCATGGGGTTCTGGACATTGCAGTGAGCCAAGAGCTCGAGAGCCCGTGGCCTTCACTCCTCCTCACTGTGCACCTTAGGGCCTCAGGTGCTGGTGCTCCTCCTGCAGCTCCCTCAGAACTGGTGGGCAGTAACCAATAACCCGCTCCGAGTCTCTCTGCCTGCTGTCTTGTCCTTGCTGGCACCAGCACATGTCAGTGGTGCTCACATGTCTCCTCTGCCCCACAGGTGGACAAGGAGGGAGCAGGCAGATTTTTACCGCACCGTCTCTTCCTTCGGGGTCATCTATGACCAGGAGAAAAAGACCTTTGACTGGACCCAGTTCCGAGCCATCTCTCGTTTGGAGAAGAAAACAGATGAGAGCTTAGAGAAGTACTTCTACAGCTTTGTAGCCATGTGCAAGAATGTCTGTGGTCTCCCACTGTGGAAAGAAGATGGTAAGTGAAAATTGCATGGCCTTTCATAGAATCATGTAGCTGCGGGTGAGAAATGGTTGCAGAGTGAGAGAAGGAGGAGTTCCATGGAGAGTAGGAGGCAGCAAGATACCAGCCAGAGTATAGGCTTGCAGACACCTGCATTTTTGGCTGCCTCTCTGGTGTAACAGGAAAGCAGCACCGCAGCACGGTCTTTAGCCCCTATTCTCACACAATTCATGGAATTCTCCCATGAAATCTCAACTAATTTTATCCAAGGCAGGTGATCTTCTGATGTGAGGGAAGAGAAGCAGAAAAGCAGCAGTTCACGCCTCCTCCACACTGAATGAAGCTGGGGTTTGTTTGTGCAGTATGTGTTGCTGCTTTCTGCCTAAGCACCCTCCTGCTGGCACTGTACAGAGCTCTGTGTTGTGCCTGCACTGATGCCCAGCTGTCTGAAGAGCTCTCCCGCAGGGCAGAAGGGGTCTGAAGGTAGCATGGGAGGCTTGGGAAGCCTGGCCAACACACTGGGCATCTGCTTTGTGGGAGCACTCAGAAGAGCCCCAGCACATTGGTTCATGCAGAACATGGCAGATGCAAAGCTGCCTGAGTGCTACTTAAGCACAAAGTGATTTGCTTTGAACAGAAGCAGGAAGGATCTCGTCTCAGACCTGCCAGGAGGTCCAGTCTTGTGCAGAGCTCCTTAGAGATGTGTGTTAATGCCTTCAGTATGGGTGTATAGGTGTTACTCATCAAAAGAGCTTGCATGAGTTGAAGGACTCCCTTCTCTGAGAAGATGCTGCAGGGCTGCCCCAGGCTCACACCTCAGGGAGCCGCTCTGATGGCAGCTCCCTGCGGCTCCAGCTCTGCTGGCTCTGTTGGGCAGATCTCGGGCAGGGCACTGAACCTTCTGCAGCCCAGTGCTGCTCTTGGCCCAGCTGATCAGCTCAAGAAAGCATGCTCCGGTGTGAGCATTTGGTCACGCATGAGTGGAAGGCGGTGGCACTGGGAAACTCAGTCTCAGCATTAGCCTTCAAGCACTGCCCTGCCCCCACCTCCCCGGCAGAAAACTCACCCGGCTTCTTGCAGCCCTCATCAGTGTGTCTAACAGGGCCTTGGCTCTGCTGTCCCTCTTGCAGGTCCCCCGGATCCCGACATCTACGTGGAGCCCATCACGGAGGAGCGCGCTGCCAGAACCCTGTACCGCATTGAGCTGCTGCGGAAGGTGCGCGAGCAGGTGCTGAGGTGTCCGCAGCTGCACGAGCGGCTCAAGCTGTGCCGGCCCAGCCTCTACCTGCCCGTGTGGTGGGAGTGTGGCAAACACGACCGGGACCTGCTGATCGGCACCGCCAAGCACGGCCTGAATCGCACAGACTACTACATCATGAATGACCCGCAGCTGTCTTTTTTAGATGCGTACAGGAACTACGCCCAGCATAAAAGAACAGGGATCCCAGGCTCGGAATCTCTGTGCTGCCTGTACCAGACTAACTCCAAACTCTACAGTTCCCCTCTGTATAGCCAGGTGGATCGGACTTGTGAATCCCTGGAGAATGAGACTGAGAGTCAGATCAAGCTGGAAAACACTGACAGCACCATGTCCCAGGCCGGGGGCAGCCCGCCGGATGCAAACTGTGAAACGTTCATGTCTAAAGTCCGGGACATCATTTCCAGTAACTACGATGAGAGCTCGCTGCCGGACTCGCTGATGTGCATGATGTATGACGAGAAGGTCTGCAACAGTGAGCAGAGCTCCCTCGCCCGAGACAGCCCGACCTGCACAGATGTTGGAAGCAGCATTGCTAAACTGTCTGAGGGCAAGCTAGAGGGGGACGAGGATCCATCCAGCTGTGACGCGGAGGCCATGAGAGAGGCTTCCTTCCTGGAGGGTTTGCAGGTGGGCTGTGACCAAATGGACTGTCAGAATGAAGAAGCTGAGCCTTCACCTTCTACTCCTGAAAGTGACCCTTCACGGAGCGTCCCAGCAGAGCTCTGTGAGGCCGTGCAGCAGAAGAGGGACCTCAGCAGCCCTGCGCCGGTGCTGTCTGAGCACCGTGCCATGGAAGGGGTTATAAGTGTGGGGCTGTACAGTCCCAGCCTTCACAACTATGACATGAAGGTTCCTTCTGAGCAGAGGTTCATTAATCTGCTGCAGGAGAAGGGAATGGAGGCAAAAGCAGGTCCAAGTCAAAGCCACAGTGAGGAAGATGAGGAAGAAGAGGACGATGATAACTCAGAGGCGGCAGCAGATGTTGCAGAAGGCTTGAGTGGTCCGAGGGCCAGGGCCAGTTGTGATGAACTGGGGGGTGAGGAGCAGAGCCTTGGCCTCCCCACACATGAGGACACTTGTCCTGAAGATGTGAACAGTGAGAGAGGGTCCCTGGGGCTGGGGATGCTCGAAGTGCCCGCGGAGCCTGGGCCGGAGGGCAGGGAAGACCACAGCCTGGATGAGGAGAACACCCTGCAGCACTTGCCAGGCCAGTCTCAGAGCCGGCCTTTCAGCCTGCCTGCCCCTCCATTGGGGGCTCTAGGGACACAGCCCCTCCATGCTGGGGGAGAAGCCTGGGGCCAAGAGACCAAGGGGCAGGCAGGCTGCAGGGAGGCCCTGCATCCTGTGCCTCTGGGGGTGAAGCAAGAGGAGTGTGAGATCAGAGATGAGGAGGAGAAAACTGGCAGCAGCCAGAGTCAAGGTACAGTCTGAGAGCTCCTGCTAGCTGACAGTCCCCTCCTCCCTTCCATCTGGGAGGGGTGGGACCTGCTGTCCCCAGTACTGAGCCAGAGCCAAGAGGCTGCCCAGCCTCCTGGGACAGCTACCAACCCAGCAGGTCACCTCTGGCCAATGTGACCAGGCTGGTTGCTAGTTGGTGGCTGATTACTAGTTGGGCTTGCCAGGACCCCAGCAGCCCTTCTGCCCTGGGTACAGCCATGGGGTGCCCAAACCCTTCCCTTCCAAGCCTGGAGCACTCTGATGGGCAGCTCTGTCTGTAAGGCCCCTGCCCTTCTCCTCACCCACCGGGGCTCCAGCTGTGCCACTGGGGAAGGTATGGGGCCACTGTAATAAAAGCCCAGAACTCAGTTCATGGCAGTGCCCAGCCATCTGCTCCTCTGTGGTGTGGGCTGCCTGCTCCTGGCCCAGGCCTGACTGTGTTTCTTGGTGGATGGCTGGGGAGTGGGATCTGCTGGGGACCTGCTGGGCACCAGAGTGGGAAGGGGAGAGGAAGTGCCAACACCCTGAGGGGTTAGGGAGGGAGTGTGATAATGGGCTCTGTTCTGTCGCTTTCTCAGATGGCCCGGAGAAATATTTGGAGGAAGAGAGCAAGAGTTCAGCTTCTGTCCTGCCTGGGGAGATTGATGACCTGCAGGATGTCCGGGCACCAACCATCGCCCAGCTGCTGCAGGAAAAGACGCTTTACTCCTTCTCTGAGTGGCCTAAGGTGAGTCGAAGATGAACACTTTTTATTGTGGATGCTACTGCCTTGTCCTGACAGACAGTGGCTCACAGCCTCAGCTCTGCCTCCTCCTGCTCCTCTGCACGTGGCTCCCAATGGACGCTGTGCTCGGTGCCCCACAGCAGTTTGCTGCTGAGCTGGGACACAAGGGTTGGGTTTATCTTTCATCCTGATTTGGCATACATGAACTAAAGTCATTGGAGTCCCAGCATCCCCCCCATCCAATCCTGTTTGCAGGATCGTGTGATCATCAACCGCATTGACAACATCTGCCACGCCATCCTGAAGGGCAAATGGCCATCCTCCAGCCAGCAGTTCGAGACCCAGAGTCTGCTGGCAGCCCCAGCCGTGGCCAGCAATGCTGGCAGCAGGAACAGCTTTGCTGAGTCAGAAGCCCCCGATCCCAGCTTCAACAATGGAGTGTTAATCTCACAGGTACAAAAGGTGAGCGGGACCCTTGGTTGAAGACAGGTTTAGGACCCCGGGATGAAGCATTTCCCCAGGTGCTCATTAGCTTCCTGCTCCAGGTGGGGGTTTCACTGCCTCTTGGTGCCAGTTGTGGTGCATAACATGCAGCTTGGGCTGTTCAGTCCCTCTGGTGAGGACTCCTGGTGAGCTCCCAGCCCCCAGCTACCCCCGTGTCCCGAAGGAAGGAGTGCAGGAGAGGGCACTTCCCTGTTGGTCTCTCATCTCCCTCTGATGGACATGGCACAGAGCAGGAAGCTGCTGACCTGGGACTCCACCTCTGCCCCAGCTGTGGATGAAGCATGTGGGAGTCCGTGTTGGTCCGAGGGTACCATGGCACCACTTGCACACAGGGTGAGGTGTGCTGTGCCCAGGGAAAGGACATGCTGCAGAGGAGCAGGGCAGCCTGACCGCTAGCTCTGTGCGTTGGTTTGCTGGAATCCACGGCGCTGCACCAGCAGCTGTAACTTGCTCTGTGTCTCTGATCCGTGCAGGAAGGCTTCCTGAACCCTGCCTTTGCAAAAGATGAGCGGAAGCACAGGCGGCTGTATGAATTTGAGCTGGAGAGAGATGCCAAGCAGAGGAGCTTGGAGCAGTTGGCAGCAGCCCATGTTCATCCTCCCATTGTGCTGAACGGCTGGCGCGATGCGGCTGTGGACCTGTCCAGAGCCTCTGACGGATCCCCAGGGAACTCCTCTCCTTTCCCTCTGAACGCAAACATGCCCAAGCTGGGGACTGTCAACACCCTCCAGGGCTCCCTGGGCATGGACTTGTCCGGCATCTTGCAGGCGGGGTTAATCCATCCTGTCACAGGACAAATTGTAAATGGCAGCCTCCGAAGAGACGATGCTGCCATGAGGAGGAGACGGGGCAGGAGAAAAAATGTAGAAGGGATGGATCTCATCTTCCTGAAGGAGAGGCCTCTTCCAACCAGGCTGCAGGTGAGCTGATACTCCCTCCTTTCACATGGGCCCCGTGCAGTCAGCACAATTCTTCTCGTGGTCCAGCTCCCCTATACAAGCTCTGCTGCCTCCAGTAAGCATTATCACAAGCGGTTGTTCCAGATGTGGAGTGTTTGCTGTTAGAAAACGTGATAAAAAGTCCATGACTGCATTTAAGCTCTTGCCACAAGGCTTCTCCCCTGGGGTCCACTTGAGCACTGGAAATTGGGAGCCAGAGCAGTCCCCTCAGACCATGTGTAGGAGTGATCTGTTGGGCAAGTGGCTCTCCTAGTCATGAGAGTGTTTGCAGGTGAGATGCAGAAGCATCCCCCAGCTCTCTGCCCTCCATGCTAGCAGTGCTGGGGCTGAGTGGAAGCAGAATGCGCTGGGGCGCTGGGCTGGGGAGCAGGTGCAGGGAACATGGGTTTGAAGAAGCCAGCCTGTGCTGTGGTGGCAGTTGAGCTGCTTTGGGATCTGTGTGGGGACAGATGCATCACTACATGCTGCTCCTCCCTTCACTCCAGGACGTTCAGGACGATCAGCTGCAGCCACCCCAGAACAGCCCCCTCCCAGATGGGCCGGCAGCTGCTACCTCAACTCCGCAGCCAGTCCCAGCTGCAGGCAGCCAGGCTGAGAAGGCTGTCCCCAACAAGAGTCTCCTCGACTGGCTCCGTCAGCAGTCCGACTACACGCTCGACGTTCCCAGCTTCGGCACAGTAAGGGTGGCCTTTGGTGGCATGTGTGTGTTCCTGTGTCTGCCTTGTGTGCTGCCTTTGGTGTTAGGCTTAGTGTGGTCGCTCTTAAATTCAAGGCCCCCATGAAGTATTCAAAGCGTAGCACCTTTCCCTGTGCCACAGGTGGCAGTGTTTGTCAGGCTTGGGTCACGCTCTGGGGATGGGCATGGTTCTCTGTGCAGTCGCAGAACCACCTGCTGAGCTGCATGCCCCTGCCCCAAGGTCTGTTCTACAGCTCCAGTCCTGGGCATCAGACATGTGCAGCGTGAGTCTGTAGTCCAGTGTCTTCCAGAAATGGCAGGGGTAGGGAGATAAATAGGAAAAGACATTTGGGATGCTCAAAGCCCTTTCACTTGGGGTCATTTTAGGCTATGCTGTTGTATTAGGCGAGGCCCCCAGACAGCATGTTCCCTGCAAAGCGGAGTTCCTTGCTTTGAAAATGGAAGCACTGCAGTGGGGGCACATATCTGCAGGCACAGTCAGAACACAGCGGCACTGAGGCCTGTCTGATTCTTCTTGTAGTCTCATAGACATCTGTCCACCTCTTGGTTTCACAGGGTGATCTGCTCCTCAGATTTCAGCCTCTTTAGCTTCTGGGACAAACTGGTAGGCAGAGCACAGGCTGCAGAGCAGGAAGAAATGTGATGCCATACATAATAGACTGTTTCTTGGTCACAGAAGACTGTTTGTGCCCAAGGCAGGGCTTCCCCAGGGCTGGAGTGCAGGAGCATGGAGGAGGGGCAAGCTGGGCAGGGTGGGGGGCTCCTGAGAGATGAGGAGATCAAGCAGCTTTTTAAGACCCTGAGACACACAGAGATCTGTGCCCTGGACCAGGAGCACGGCAGGAAGCAGTCTGTTGATGGAGCAGCAATGCAGCTGCCTTTCCACCACTTCCCAGTGCCCTGGCCTTCTGGGGGGCTTACAGAGCTCACACATCTGCCACGCCAAAGACCAGCTGCTGCCAGCAAGCTCTGTGTCAACACTGAGGGGTTCCCTGCCTCGAGGCAGGTGTTCTGTCTCTGAGAGATCAGTTTGAAAGCTGCTTTGGAGTTCTGGAGCAGCTCTGTTGAGTTCTCGAAGGCCAGGCCAGTCTCAGGACCTTCTCACAGAATCACAGAATGGCCAGGGTTGGAAGGGACCTCAAGGATCAGGAATCTCCAACCCCCTGCCACATGCATGGCCACCAACCTCCCCATTTCATAGCAGCCCAGGCTGCCCAGGGCCCCATCCAACCTGGCCTTCAACACCTTCAGGGATGGACGGGGCATCCACAGCCTCTCTGGGCAGCTGTTCCAGCACCTCACCACTCCCTCTGTAAAGAATTTCCCCCTGACATCCAACCTCAATCTTCCCTCCCTCAACTTGAAACCATTTCCCCTTGTCCTGCTGTTATCCGCCCTTCCCAAAAGTTGACTCCCCTCCTGTTTGCAGGCTCCCTTTAGGTACTGAAGGCTGCAATGAGGTCACCCTGCAGCTGCCTTTTCTCCAGGCTGAACAAGCCCAGCTCCCTCAGCCTGTGTTCATAGGGGAGCTGCTCCAGCCCCCTGATCATCTTTTGTGGCTCTTCTGGACCCTCTCCAACAGCTCTCTTTTTTCATTGACTCCTGGGACTCGGGGCTTGCAGTAGTTTGTTACAATGCTATATCCATGCCTGCACGTTGGCGGATGTCCCAGGGCTTGTTGTCTGCAGTGGGAGTGCAAGAACTCAGCTGTAACTGCACTGTGGTCCTGAAGGGCTGGGACCCCAACCAGGTGCAGCAGCTGTGCAGTGGGAACTGCTGAAATTCAGCAGAAAAAAGCATGGGCTGAGCTGCAGAGAAGCAGAGCACCCTGCTTACAGACGTGTGTGTACAAGTGTGGAGCAGGTTGGGGGGAGCCAGGAAATGGTGCCACTTCAGTGCGGTGCCCAGAAGTCCCTTTGTGCCTCCAGCAATTAATGCTCATTTGAAAACTGGCCCAGTGGCAGAGGCTGCGTGTGCTGCTCGTAGAGCTTCTGCCCAGGGCTGCAGGGGCATCCCTGTCCTTCGAGTGCTCATCTGTGTCATCGTTCTGCAGGGCTTCTAGCCAGCCAGGCTCATTAAGCTGCCTGCTCTCATTAACGTTGTGTTGTTTGCACTCCAGAATTTTTCAGACAAGCCCAAGCAGAGGAGGCAGCGCTGCAAGGACCCCAGCAAATTGGACATTAGTGCACTCACGGGCGAGGAGCGGGTGCCGGTGGTACATAAGGGTACCGGACGGAGGGTAAGCGAAGGTCTATTCTGTGCTCTGCCCTCGGTGTCCTGAAGCACTTAGCAGAACCTGAGCAGGCCAGGGGTGGATCTTAATCCAGGGGACCACGTGGACAGGGCAAAAGTATGGAATACATACTTGGTGTATGATATTCTGTGACACATGTGGGACCGAGGAGACACCTACAAGTGACTGCCTGCAGCACGAGGGGCTGGGAGCTCACTGCTGCGCTGTGTGCCAACATGGCAGCAGCACTGCGACAGCCTCTTGTGGGGAGCTGCCATCAGCATAGCCCTGGCTGCTGGCTCCTGTTCTGGATCTAATCATTACCTCTGAACTCACTGCAGTATTCCAAAACTTGTAATATTCCCATGTGTTGCAAATGTTTCTGTTTTGCTGCTCCTTACGAGGTGCAGCAGGAGCACATTGATACCCAGCAGAGCGAGAGGCGTGTGGGAATGCGGGGCTTGCAGTGCTTTCTCTTGCTTACTGAGATGTGCTTACTGAGCAGCGAGAGTTGGGAGTATGGAGTTACCCACTGCTTGTGCTCGGGTATCAGCCTCTCTGAATGAGACAGGGAACTTTGCACCCAAATATGGCTGTTAAACACACCCAGGGCTTCAGGAGGTGAGGTAGCCATAATCACCTCTAAACCCAAAGCAGAGTGGTAGGGTAGAGGGAGACCGATTCGGCCACACCTGTGTTTCTGTGTTGCACCCACAGTGGCTGCTGGAGACCTGGGGAGTTGGGTGGGTTCCTCCAGTTCTGAGTGTGTCTCGTACAAATGCTCTGTCCCCACCCCATGGCACACTCGTAGGCAGGAGGGCAGTGCTGGGTGGCAGGGCAGGGCACGGGCTGGCCCTCTGCTCCCTGAGCTATGTGGCTGGAGGCATTGGTCCCGTACTGAGTCCTGCCAAGTGGCATAGCAAGGGAAAAGCATCTGCCCCAGCCAAACCGCAGCCCCGGACGGTGAGCCAGGAGACGTGCTGTCATCCCATTCACAGCACGGCTGGAGGGACTGGCCCACAGCTGTGAGCAGAAAACGCTGGCCTTGGCTCCCAGCTGCACCTCAATCAGCACCTCGGGGTGTCCTCCCTCTGCTTGGACAGGACCAAATGGTCTCTGTCTGCTTGGCCACCTCCTGCATGAGCCTCCCAGGTGTGTAGCAACCATCCCCTTCAGAGGCTGGTGGATGCTCCTAAACTGTGTGTTTGCCTAGACATTTAATCGTATTTCTTGTGTTATTTTGCATAACTCTTTCTGCAATAGAGGTCATCCTTCTGCTATGTTTTATAGTTAGGGGGAGCCACGGCACCAGCATTGAAGGAATTGCCAAGGTGGCTTGATGCAAACTTGGAGTATGCTGTTGCAGCTGACTGGGCTGACATTGTTAAGCTTTCAGTAAGTTAGAGCTTTTGGAGAAATCTGTATCATATCATCTTTTCTTCCTCCTCCCCATCCCCACCACCTTTCTTCAGTGAGGCCCCATGAGCTGCAGGGCAGGGCCTCTCTGGGATGGCACAGCTGGAGGCCAGCTGGGCCGCGCGGCACAGGAAGGTTGGGCATAACCATGGCTCCACATCACGGCTGAGCAGGAGAGGAGGTGCTCAGTGCCCTGGGAAGGGCATGGCAGGACAGGGCAGCCATTGCAGAACCTTTCTGAAAGGCTTGGGAGACTAAGAGACGGGGGCAGCAGGAGCGCATCAGTCATCCACCTGCGCTCAGGGCAGGAGCTGCACACAGTGCTTTCTCATGAGTCACATTTTCCAGCAGTTTCCTGGGCCAAGCCTTTTTATCAGCTCCTGCAAGCTCTGTGCGTGCCAGCCTGAGCCTGCTGTCAGATGTGCAGCGTGGGGGGCTGGGACAGCAGCAGGACAGGGGTAGCGGGGAGCAGAGCCCTACCAGTGCACTCACCCACCAGTCCCCGCCCTGGCGAGGGACAGCAGCCACGTGCATCCCCCCAGGCTGCTCCCGGAGGCCCCACTCACTGCCCCTTGTTTCAAGGCCACGTACCTCAGCAACCTTGCTGAGCAGGGGCTAGAGGGGGGATCAGGTGGCTTAGAGTTTTATACCACTCTGAAATCCGTTTTTAATGAGTGCTGGCAATTTGGCACATCCTGCCTCTGTCCACCAAAAACACAGCTCCACGTCCAGGCTGGCCTGCATGCCCTGTGCAGTCAATTGCCTCGAATTGCCTCCAGCTCCTGCGGATGCCTCCTAGGCTGCCCCACTTTGCCTGAGGTATGGCTGTGTATCAGCCCATAGTGCTCAGCAGCCCTATCTGCCACTCTCTGTGCATGCATGTAGAGGGACGGCCGCTGGAAGAGCTCGAGGGCTGGGTGTTGGGCAGGCTGCCCCGTGGTGTCTGGGCTACCTGGGCTGCTGTGCAGATTACCGTGTGCACCAGTGCTTGCTCGTCCCTCCTGGAGCAGCAGCTGGGCTGCGCAAACTTCCCCAATGGTTTGTTCTGCACTTGAGGTGTCAGTGGGAAGTATAGCTCATGTGCAGATCTATTATTGGCAATTGTTCAAAGGCACAAAAGTCTTTGAAGCTCGAGGGAGGCACAAAAAAACCCATTCAAATATTTGTGATGAGAACGCTGAAAAATGGAGTGTTAGGCTGTGCTGTGTGTCTGGCTGCACTGCTCCACAAAGGTGGGCTGTCTTCTCCCTCACTGTGGTCGCTGGGCTCTGTTCCTGCAGTGAATGCTCATGAAGCTCAGCAGTACACCCACTCTCTGCGTCTCCTGCAGCTGAAAATTTGGCCCTTAGAGCTCATATCCAGGGTTGCTGAAGCCAGGACTGAAGCTGGGATAGAAGCGAACTTCAAGCCTCTGACGTGGAGCTGCCCGGTGCTCCTTGTGCTAGGAGGGGTTCCAGTCCTTGGGAGCAGCTGGAGGGGCTCGGAGGAGCCAAAGGCTGCTGTCCTTGCTGCCTCCCTCCCCCCCACTCACGTTGGCACTGCAGCACTGTGCCAGGGCACACTGAGGATGTTCTGCACTTGGCAGCATCCCCTGGGGAAAAGTCAGGCATACTCTCAAATTCCATATCCAGAATCATGTCAGCAAATGTTTCTGTGCCGACACCATCTGGGATGCAGACGCGAGTACGGAAAGCCACGTTTCCTCTCGTGCAGTAACGAGGCATTTTGTGTTGTGTCTGTTTCGTTCCTAGGGCTACTTACCAGAAAGCAAATTCAACCGTGTGCTGACTGAGCCGGTGCTGCGTGACGCGGGGCCGCGCCGCAGGGGGAGGCGGCCCAGAAGTGAGCTCATCAAAGGCCCCGGCGTCGTAGCAGATTCTTCTTCTGGAATGGGACCATTGTTCATGAACGGACTGATTGCCGGAATGGACCTAGTGGGACTTCAGAACATGAGAAACATGCAAGGGATCCCCCTGACCGGGCTGGTCGGCTTCCCTGCGGGCTTTGCGGCCGTGCCCGCTGGCGAGGACGTGAAGAGCACCCTGAGCATGTTGCCCATGATGCTGCCAGGCATGGCCACCGTGCCGCAGATGTTCGGCGTCGGAGGGCTTCTCAACCCACCCATGGCAACGACTTGTACCGCCACCGCTCCGACTTCCTTAACAAGCACAACAAAAAGTGGTACATCGAACGCAGAGAAAGCTACTGAGGATAAACAGAGCAGCCAGGATGCGAAAAAAGAAACTCTTTCTGAAGATAAGCCCGGCCCTAGTTCGTTTTCTAATCAGACAGAATCCGCAATAACTACCAGTAGTCCTGTAGCTTTTAACCCGTTTCTTATCCCAGGGATGTCACCCGGACTGATCTATCCGTCAATGTTTCTCTCCCCTGGCATTGGCATGGCGCTGCCGGGCATGCAGCAGGCCAGGCACGCGGAGGCAGCCAGCCTGGAGAGTCAGAAGCGGAAGAGAAAGAAAGCGAAAGGGGACGCAGCGAACCCAGAACCAGAAACTGTCTCGCTGCCCGAAAAAGAAGCTGCAAACGGTCAAAACTGTACAGAGCAAACACCGCCTTTGCCAGCAGAGAAAGAGCAGGATGTACCAGCAGAGGAGGAGGTCAAAGAAGTTAATGATACCAATTAGAACTTTTGTTTCATTGAAAAAAAAGATTGTGGCTTGTAAGTTTCTTATCCCATACCTATTTGTTACTTACCCTCCTGCCCCCACTCCACCTTCATAAACCTGTGTTTCCATGAGTAATATTATCTACCTAACTCCCTGTCAGAAAACTATGGTGACATATTATATGTTAATAGTTGCAGGGTCTTGCCACTTTATTAGATAAACAGTGTTGTCTAGATAGTGTGGGAGGCACAGAATTCTCGTTCTGTTTTCCAGTCGTTCATCCCGGCCGAGCAAATCCAGTTCTTGGGCACCCCCCAAACCGCTCACACATTTGAGAAGAAAAGGAAGCAAAAACAGAGCCAAGCAAGGCTCTCACCTCTTGGTCTGCGCACTGACAGGGGTGGTTCTTTCTCCAGCGACACTGGGTGACAGAGCCTGTATTTGGGGGTAAAAAGCACAGCTATAGTAAGTGCTGATGTGTATTTTTGATTTGAAGTATTTCCCTATTTTATCATGGTTACTAGAATAGTAGTATAGACAGAAGTATATACCTAATGATTGAAAATGCATATATTCATTTCTTTGAAACAAAGAGACATTACTGGTAGTGGTATAATTTCTCCATCACCCCCACCTCAAAGGTTTGGAAACAAACGACAGTGAGTGACAATATTACGTAGGCATTCTTTTGTATTTTTTCAAACCAAAGTTTGGTTTTACGTTAAGTGGAATTTTCGTTGCCCTTTCCTCGATAGTTATGAGAGCTTTTCAGCCCGAGCTGAAAACGTTTTGCACATCTTGCATGACTTTTTGGGATTCCTGTACCCATCGCTACCAGTTCCCCCATGGCCCCGCTAGAATTCCGTTCTCATCTACGGCGTTAGTCCTCATCTATGGCATTAGGAGTGCTGTAATGTTATTTTTTCAGGCCACAAACAGGCCACGCTGATTTTAATGCTCTTTTATGAACACTGAGGCTTTTTGAGTTGCTGTCCATTGGGGTCCATGTTCAGATGCGGCGTCTCTCAGAGCAGGGGAGGCTGCAGGCTGTGCTGCTCTGAGGGCAGAAGGACCGCGGGATCTCCAAAGCTCGAGTTTGTTCTTCTTTCCTAGTGGTAGACTGTGAAGAGATCACGTTTGCTTCTTCTTTCCATTCCTCTACGTGCTGTTGAACAGTATTTCCAAGTCCCCCCATCGGCAAATGATTCTGACGTACGTGTTTTAAGCGGACAGGTTTTAATGCAGTCAGTGCCCGAAACTCTGTGTGTGTTGAGACACCTCCACAGGCAACTCCTCCGTTTCTCCTCCCCTTCACTCCTTTCGTTTCCCTTTCACTTGGGCTCGTTCTCATTTGCAGCTCATGGTTTGAGACTTGAAGTCAGCGCGGCGGGCGTTGGGAGCGTCAAGTCACCGGTCACACATCTGGTTGTCACGATTTACTGTATTTTTTACTTATTTTCTGTTACAGTTTTGCTAATTTATCGGATGGTCCAAATGTTTTGGCATAACTATTTCGGTTTGCATTATTTATTTATGATGCTTTTTTTTTTTTTTTGTCATTGTCTTTTATACATTTGGAATGATAAATGGTGTACATGTTGAAATCAGCATCTCAAAGAAGTCTGTTACCCACGAGCTGAAAAGTTCATCCTTTCACGGACGTATTCCCAGATTCCTGGATTGGGTGATTTTTTAAAGTCTGTAACCAATCACGATGCAAACCCCCCCCAATTAAATGTCTTCTATTTAATAACTTCCTCGTAGCATAGATACTGTATCGCTGTCGACAGATTTCTTAGAAATGCTGCTATCTCTATTTAACTAACATTTTGTTCAGTTTTGCCTCCAGTGGAAGCAGAAAGGGTTTTCTCAGCTGTTAAATCCAAAATCGATATAATTTATTTATGTAAAAAAAAAATCACGATTGATATATTTTTGAACCTTTTAAGTACTAACTTTCTTTTTATTCAGTAGAAGAACATGTACTTGCCCTAAATCCTTAAAATACAAATGCTATAAAACTTCATGTATCTTCAAAGCCTTACTGTGACTGGATGTAGACATCTCTTCAGAGTCCATTTCTCACACGGGATGGTTTTTCCAGGGTTACACTCCTAAGGAACAGGGTTTTAAGTGGCGTTTATTTAATTAGCCGGCATGCTCTATACCTTGTTCTTATTATCAGACGTGTACGCTAAGTCTCTGGGTGTTTAGGCTTCTCTTTGACTGCTACTTTGTGACCCTTTTGCAACCCGATATACTCTGTGGATTACTTAGGCTGTAAGGCATTAAGTGGCTTCTTATAATTTTCCATCCAATCCAAAAGAAATGCCAAATTGTCGCCGGTTTCCATGGATACTCACACCAACATCCATCCTCCACCAAATGTGCTAACAAAATAAACGGTCTGTGCTCTTGGACATGGATAAAAAGAAAAAGAGAAAAAAAAAAAAGATTTAAAGGTCAGATTTTTATTTTTTTAATTTAGTGACTAGATGATGCTTATCTTTCAGACTTGGCAGAGCCTTGCTACAGATGTATATAATTTTTTTCAGCAAATATATGTGAACGTTTAATTCACCTGACTCAGTGATAACGGTTCCTCGCCTTTCTCTCGGCACGAGCGCCGAGGCCCGCCGCGCTCCCATAGCGGAGCGGAGCTCGGGCGGCGCCGCGGCTCCCAGGGCTGCCGCGGCCCCGAAGGCACGGCGGGCCGATCCCAGAGCTCTCGGGGCGCCTGGGGTCGGACGCGAGGCCCCGAGAGCGACCGCGGCAACGGCCGGCAGCCTCCGCGGGACGGAGCGGGGCCGCGCTCTTTGCTGACGCCGCAGCCCCGTTCGGCGCTCCGAGGCGCCAAATAACGGCTTGCGACGGATCCGCGCCTCGGCACCGCGCGCCTCAGGAAAGCGGGTCATCAGCCGGAAGAAACGCGCGGAAATTCCCGCAGGTGCGCGAGGACGAGCGGGGTGGGCCGGTCTGGCTGCCCCGCGCGCCTCGGCGCCGCTCCTCGCGAGCCGCACGGCGATGCTCGCCGGCCGCGCGCGGTGCCACACCGAGGGCCGCCCAGCGCCCGAGGACGGCAGCTCTGCAGAGCGGACGCAGTGCGCGCGCGGCCCGGCCCCCGGGACCAGCCTTCCCTCGGGCGCGTCCGGGCTCCGGAAAGGCGTCCCGAGCCGGGCCGTTCCGCCGCTCCTTGCGCTCGGACCCGCGCGGAGCAGAACCGCTCCGACCCCGCGCCCCCTCCCGCTTCCCGCCCGTCGGCGCCGGAGGCGCCGGAAGTGGCCGCGCCCTTTCCGGTTCGTAAGTTTTGGCGCGCTGAGCGCAGCTCGGCGCCGTGGCGGCCGTGCCGGGCCGCCATGTCCCGCACCGAGCCGCTACCCGAGCCCGAGCTCGGCGCCGCCATCGAGCGGCTGTGCCGGGAGCTCAACCTGGACGCGGGCAGCGCGGCCGAGGCGCTCCGCGACTTCACGGCGCTGCGCGGCACCTACAGCCTGGAGGTGGGCGGTGGGGCCGGGCGGCGGGGCCGCGCCGTGCCGAGCTGCCCCGGCCCCACGAGCGGCGTTGCCTTGCAGGGGGACGCGCAGCACTGGCTGGCCTGCGCTCTGTACGCCGCGTGCCGCCGCAGCGTGCTGCCCACCGTGGGGAGCGGCCTGATGGAGGGCAACTGCGTGTCGCTGACCCGGATCCTGCGCTCCGCCAGGCTCAGGTGCGCCGCTCGGCCCGCACGGGGCAGCGCTGAGACAGAACGGCGGTTAAAGCCGGTGATAACACGAAGGTTTCTTTGTCTTTTTTTCTTTCTTTTTTTTTTCCTCTTCCCTTTTAAGTTTGATTCAGTTCTTTAGCAAAATGAAGAAGTGGATGGACATGTCGAATGTGCCACAGGAGTTCCGGGAGCGGGTGGAAAGGCTGGAGAGGAACTTCGAGGTGTCCACTGTCATCTTCAGGAAGTTTGAACCGATATTTTTGGATATCTTTCAAAACCCTAACGAGGAAACTTCGAAACCCCAACGGAGCAGGAAGCAGAGGTACTGGGGAGCTCTCGTGTGGCTTTACAACGGTTTTACAAATAAAGAGAGCGGTAGTTGTGCTTTAAAAAACAAGGCCGAGTTCTGAAGTGACTGAGCAGACGTGCAGGGATGCTCAGTGCAGGCATAGGCAGTGGCTGAGACCAGGCTACTGTCCCTCCTTGCACTCCTCACAGTGCTGCATCAGTGGACTCCAGTGAGCGGCTGCTTTATGTGAATGCCAGGTGAGCGCCGGCCCTTTTGTGGGAGCAAACTGCAGCCAATGTGCTCATCTGTATGACAGGCAGCGACTGGTGCTGTCGTCTTCCTGATGCACGGAGCACTTCTTAATTAAAGGGCTTCATCCTTGTTCTGCATTGACTGCATGGCTGTCCCTGGTAGCTCTAGTGAGGATATGACCTTCAGCAGAGGAAGCTGAGCTGGCTCAGTGCTGGGGGTTTCTGCAGCCTCAATTTGGTCTGGATGTGAGGGGGTAATTTAAAGTAACCCACTCTGGTGTGGCTCCTTATGCAGATATGGGAAGGGAGCTGCTGCTGCAACCAGTTTTGCTGAGCCTGTATGAGGAGAAATGTCCGTGCACTGTGTTCATGTACCTTCATCAGAGCAGCATTCACTAACGTGAGCACGCAGCTTCTCTGTCGGGTGGTTTTGGTTCATCTCTACTTCTAGAGTATTCACCAGAAGAGCTGCAGCTGAGTTGTAGTTGCATATTTTGAAAGGGTGTGCGATGCTTTAGTAAAACGTTTAGGAGAAAGGTGCACTGCAATTGACAGAGCCCTCAGCAGTCTGCTACATGCAGCTCTGTGAGACTCCTGTCACAATTGCAACATCACCAAGGTAGTGCCTGGGGCACCGACCACAAGCAGCTGTTGGCTCAGAGCAGTCGGTGACTGTGCAAAAAGCTGTGCAGAGCAGTCCAGGAGGCTGCAGTGAGAGCTGCTCTGTGTGCCACCAGCTTACGGCGTGCCTCTGTGTGCCCTTGTGGTGTGATGGCTCCGACTGTTGCTTTGAGCAGAAGGAAACTCTTGCTAAGCAGTGCGCTTCAGCTTCCTGGAAGCAGAGACTGACTCCTGCCCCTCTTGTTGACAGGCGGGTGCTGTGTGGTGTTAAGGATCTCTTCAACTTCTGCTGGACCCTGTTTGTGTACACTAAGGGTAGGCTTGCGTTCTGCAGCCGTGTGTTTCTCATGCATTCTGAGTTATGAACTTCTGTTGCCTGACGTGATGTGCTGTCTCTTCAAGGTAATTTCCGTATGATTGGGGACGATTTAGTAAATTCCTATCATCTGCTTCTGTGCTGCTTGGACCTGGTTTTTGCAAATGCCATTTTGTGCCCAAATCGAAGAGATTTGCTAAATCCATCATTTAAAGGTACGGTGGGGGTAGGCTGTTCAAAATGAAATACGCTTTGTTCCTTTGGTTATTCTTTTTTTCGGTAAAGTTGAAGGTTGTCATTTGCTTTTCCCTCTCCTTCCCATTCCCAGGCTTACCAGCAGACTTCCATGCATCAGAGATGAAAGCCTCAGAGGACCCTCCGTGCATCATTGCCACGCTGTGTGAGCTGCACGATGGGCTTCTCGTGGAAGCGAAAGGAATAAAGGAGCACTACTTCAAGCCGTACATTTCGAAGCTGTTCGATAGGAAGGTGCATATTACTATGTGGGGGACGTGTGGTAGTGTTTGTACAGATGGTCTTGTCTTGAGCATTGAAATCCTGCATGTGCTGGAGGAAAGCGCCCTGGTGGGTGTGTGGACTCGTGTTGGTTCAGGTTGCTCTGCATTTCAGCGGGAGCAGAACTGAGCTCTCCCTTCTAACGATGCATGCTGTAGGGCCCCCTCTGTTTTGGCTCTTTATGTCAGTGAAAGATCCTTACTTTCTTGGCAGTATGGAAGCTGCACTGTAGGTGATCAGCTTTTTTAATGAAAAATGTTATCTTGTGGAACAGCTGTCATGATTGCCTGGGTCCCAGTGTGTGTCTGGGGTAAACACAGTGCTTTGAATGAGGAGTTGGGGTCACAGATGGAAAAACTGTGCTGTGTGGGTTTGCTCCTGGAGAACTTCTCCAAGCTCCATAGAGATGTCTGTAGTCATCAGACTAGGAAGCAGGTTGCTTCCTCCCTGCCGGGGCGCAGAGCTGACAGCACTGCTCCTGAGCTGTGCGTTCACCACAGCTTGGATGAGCTGAGCTTTGGCCTGGCCTGCGCCTCTTACCAACAGCATTGTGCTGCTCTGGTCTGGGCAAAAGGACAAGTCTGGTTGTGCTCATTGTGCTTTTGGCAAGGACCGTCTTGCTGTCACGTTGGTAGAGATGGAATGGTTTTGATTGATGATGTAAGATGTTTCTGCTTTTTTTTGTTCTTAGATCTTAAAAGGAGAATGTCTGTTGGATCTTTGCAATTTTACAGAAAATAAGTAAGTGACAGTGTGCGTTTTTAATCTTGGACTTGGGTTTCTTTCTTGAGTATGGGTCTTTGAATGCTAAATCCCATGTTTTCCGTATCTTACTGTATCTCACTGCTTCTGGTGATTTGAGAAGCAATGCTGTTCCTTGCCGAAATGCTTCCTGGGTCTGAGATACCTCCAATATCAGAGGGTGAGCTACAGTTTCTTCCTTAATGTCAGGTCACAGAAAGGTGCTAAGGCTCTGGAGCAGGATGCCCAGGGCAGGGCTGCGCTCTGCATCCCTACAGCTATTGCAGACGTGTGGATGTGGTTTAGTGCTGGCTGATGGCTGAACTTGATCTTTAGGATCTTTTCCAGCATAGATTACTCTGTGTTGTTCTGGCAGCTCTTAACCTGTGTGTAGTCTGAGCAAGTCCAAGCTCTAAAACTCATGAATGTGTTACTATGCATACCTCAATATTTGCATGTGAATAGGGAAGTATTTAGGATTGTTTCTTAGTCTCCAGATAAGTGCACACATTTGTGAGTGCAATGGGAGAGCTCAAAAGAAAAAGGAGCAACAATTGCAAAACCACAAGAAAAGAGGAGGGAGGCAAAC